ATTTGACTCCATTTCTTGGTGCACTGTTGGCAAAAGTGAGATCAGAAGAGTTGGTGTTAATCCTGTCTGAAGAACTGATCAAGTCACTCCCTTGTGATGGAGTTTGAAAAAACTTCAGAGTTCAAGTGTTTGGCCTGAAATCCATGTGGTTGGGCTTTGGGTTATGTTTGGACTGCTGTCACTGCTAATGCACACAGTGTGAATGGTTCCTGTGGGGTAGGAATTGTCAACACCTTCTTGTGAGTCAGCCTCTCCAATTAAACCCCATGCCTCCTTTATTCCCAGGCACAGCAGGAACCTCTCACCAGGGTGTCACAAGTGAGGTTATCAGCACCAGGTTATCCAGGATGCTCCTGGTTGATCAGCTTTGGTTTTTCCACTGGATTAGTTTATGGGTGCTAGAGCACTCAGGGAGTTTGTGGAGCAGAGGTATGGTACACATTGTTGATGCTTTAGACCCAGCTTGTTTGGACCCCCAAATTTACACAGGGATGAGGCTTCTTGCAGTGAGACCATAGCTGAAACACACTTGTCTACCCTGATCAGGGTTTAGCTGTGGAACAGCAATGACAGCCCATTATGCAGTATTTTCTTCAGATGGACAATCTTAAGTGCTTTGTATACATTATTCTTAGTTGCATTCTGACAATGTGTCTGCTGCTTCTGCACTAAAGAAAAGCAGTCCAAAATATGAGGGGTACTGGAAATAAGGTTGGGAAAACACTACTGGAACTGGGCAGGGGAGGGGTCCTGCTCTGTTTATTTGTGTCGGGCCTGGGTCACAACCACTCTGACTCTTCAGATTCACTTTTTTTCCCCCTGTTTCATGCCCAAACAGAGACTGTGAAGTGACACAGAAGGCAGAGCATTTTTAAGAATACATGCATGATAAATCATAGGATCATAGAATGGTTTGTGTTGGAAGGAACCATAAAGATCATCCAGTTACAGTCCCCCTACCATGGGCAAATATATACATTTTTTTTTAACCTGTGGAATTGTTCTATTTAGATCACTAGAAGTGAGGTGAAAAAATCCATGCAGTTGTCCTTGCTTATGTTTTGGTTTTACATTTTTTTTCCTTATGTCAGCCTGGGTAATTGAAATCCTTGAGGTCAATCTTACTTTTGATTCCTCCTTTGCAGTGCAAGTCAGGGATGCTGCAAGGAGAACTCTCTTTTCAAACCATGGTTTTAATTTGAATTTTAAATGAAGTGGATATGTTTCTGTTGGCCTTGAGTTTAACTGAAGGCTGTTTTTACACATGGTAGGACCAAGTTAAGGCTGCCACAGGGTTTTGTTATCTCCTTGCTCTGGCTCTTGGGATGTGCTGCTCCTGAAGCCTGGAGTGCAGAGTGTCCCTCAAGTGTGGAACAGGGTGCTGGGCAAACGTTGCCCTGTGGCTGCCAGTGTTGATACCAGCCAGAATTGCAGCCCTGCGTGAAATTTCAGCAGCCACCACTGCTCATACCACCCAGTGGTTAGCTCATACCAGAATATTAGACAGTAGATATCTGCTTCATAAAAGAGGCTGTGCAAACAGAAGAAACTACTTTCTCAGTTTCCTGTGCACCTAGTGACACTAATGTCACGAGCAGTACAACACACATTATTCATGTCTGTTTATCTCTCTGGGGTTTGGCCTTCAAACTGTTTCAGTATCGCACGGCTGCACGGATGTACTTGCTGTCCAGCAGGACTGGGAAGGAACATAAATCTGTGGTTCACCTTGGCCTGCAGACAGAGCTGAGTTCACTTTCTGACTGGCTATGTTAATCAGGTATCCCACTCTTCCAGCTGCAAATCAGGCATTGTGATTAATACTCACAATGAGAGAGCTAATTACTGCTGGCATTTAGCTGTTTTATGTTTCTCTCTTTTCTGGGAGCCAAATCCAACCATATGGAAAAATGTAGCTTAAACACTGTAAATATGATTCCACTTAGACAGTCATCTCTTCTGTTTTCTGTTATCACAGCAGTGTCAGCACAAGCAAAACAATGAAAGTGAAGAGATGCTGTTGCAAATTTTATTACAAGTTTGAGGTCTTGGGACTTTTTTCCCCCTCTTCAAGGACACTGTGTTAATCTGAAGAAAGAGGTCTTGATTTGTGTTCATTTATGCCTGCCACAATTATTTAAGAAATAGCTTCAGTGATCATACTTGAAGAGCTCTGGTTCTTCTTTAACTATTTCTGGCAGTGCTAGAAAGATATGCTTTGTGCTTTGTATCATGACAACTTGTCTTCTCCAATAAGCCACATCTTAAACTGTGTCAGTCCTCTCTACATTCAAAGTAGCTGTCTTCTGTTCATTGCTGTTGGAATGAAGCTGTTGACTGTGTGTCTGCAGTGCAGCCAGCAGCAGCAAGCGAGGATTTCCACAGAGAGGGAAGGCTGTAGCAGTGAGCTGCAGATGGGCACCAGGCAGTGATTGAATCCAAATAGCTGGGAATCTTTGGGCAGAGCCACTTCTGATCTTCATATTGATCTTCATAGAGCTTTTCAAATAAAAAAAAATCTGCATCCAAGAACCCATTCACAAGGCTGGTGTTCTAGTATCAGCCACTGAAACTTTACTGACACAGGAAAAACACAGGCAAATTAAATAAAATAAACAAGAGTAGGAATATCTCTTATCATATTCTGAATCTTTGCAAGATTGTTATAAAGTAGATACTGTCTTCTGAGAGCAGCAAACAGTTCTCCCCAAAGCCACTTCTTTGCGCTGGGTTTTTAGGCTATTTCTAAACTATTTTGTCAAGCATTCATAGGCTGGATTAGCATATGTGACTTTACTAAAAGAGGCAGATGTCAAGGATTGGTTTCCAAAACACTCTGATGAAGATGTTTAGGTGAGTAGCAAGAGGAAAAGGCCTTTGTGCTTCTGCTTCCCATGAAATCTAAAGGAGAGCATCCTGCCATAGTTTAGAGTTCTGGGGGAAGTGAGAAAATCTGGAAGGAAACAGAAAAATACCTGCTGCAATGGAGGCAGGAGAGTTCTTCCTTTCTTTACATGACTATTGTTGCAGTTTTGCCTTGCAATGGGTGCCTCAGATTGGTCTTTTGAAGTAGTTGACCAATCTTGTTCATTGGTCTTTTGAAGTAGTTGACCAGTCTTCTCATCCATAAGAGTACTTTCCTCTGAGATGTCTCATTTTGCTTGTGAAAAGTTTCAGAAATAACTTCTGTTACAGCCATTCCTATCCAAGCCTTAAAGCACATACATAACCCTTACACAGTGGCATCAATATGACAGATTTTGGGTTGGGTATTTTTTCCTTATTTAAGATAAAAATCGTCAGAAGCAACATGAAGTAAATGACGGCAAACCATAACCTAGTGCCAAAAAAAGGTTCTAATTAATTGTCTCATCAAAAGTCAGTACCATGATAGAAATTAAACTGCTACTCTGAAGCTGGTACAGAGAGCTTGATGACATAGCCTCATATCATCTTTCTAGCTCAGGAAGTGCTTCCATAATCACTTCTCTTCCAAGTCTTCTGTTCAGTGTACTACTTCTTTTCGTGACACTTAACCCACTAGCGTTGTGTACTGTATGTATTATGCATTGCTTTTTGAGCATGCCATATATTACGAAGAGCTTTCTATCCCTAAGGGTTTCTGCAGCTATTTCTGTGAGTTTGTCCTACAGAGCACTTTCATGAAAGTCATCAGTTAGCCTTCACCATGAAGAAAGGGATAATAGTAACTGAAAGTAGGCCAAGCTCATTAGATTATGATTAAAAGGCAATTTTTTTTTTTTTTAATGCACTGAATGTGGTTCCAGTGGGTGGGCACTGGGCAGAAGTGGTGCTGATGAAGTCACAGTTGCTGTGTCCTTGATCACTCTATCTTTTCAGTTATTTTATAGCTTTAATTGAATATTGACTCATGAAGACTACAGTGACCTTTAATTTTATTCAAGTGACTTTCTTTCATGAGTCTTAAAAAAGAAATGCCATGCATGGTCCTGCCTTTGTGGTCTAGGGTGAATCTAGAGCAGGTAGTTGGAAGCATAACTACCTGCTGTTTCAAAGCAGGTTTGTAACTTGCCCTCATAATGCTGTATCTTCAGCTCTTTTGGGAACATGTGTTACTCCACTAGAAACAGAGGGGTTTCCTCCAGAAGTAGGTTAGAACCTGCCTTGAGGTCCCCGAGCTGGTGAAGTCTCAGGCTGGCCCAAGGACCTTGGCATGAGGCCCCAGCGCCTTGGTGGGTGCTCTGCAGTCCCCCCTTGACCCTGGTGAGGCTGCAGGGTCAGTGGGACCCCTACCCCCACCTGCACCTCTTCCTCTGCCAAGGCAATGACCTGCCTGTTTTAATGTCTCAGCTGAGCTGGAATAGCAGAGTTGGCAACTTCATCTCTGTGGCTGAATTTGAAATCAGTTCATCAGATGCAGTTCAAGTAGTAAATGGTCTGTACAGGCACCCCGTGGGGCCTGGATTCCTGCAGCCCCCAGGTGTGCAGCTCCCACCTGCAGCCCTGCCTTCATGGGTTGCTCTGGTCTCTACAGACACAGCGCCATGCTCCACATGTGACCACGTTGGTGACTGGGAGGGTTTTTCAGCAGGCAGGACTGGGTAAGGTGCCTTTTATTTCACTAGCAGACCCAGAGAAGGGTCACGCCTCACCCTGCTCTCCTTCATCAGTCACAGGCAAGTAGGAAATTACAGATTGTAGCCTCTGGCTTAATTAGCCACCTGCTATTCTTGTCCTCTTGTATCCACAGTAACAATTTATACACATAAGAGTATACACAAGGCTGAGGCTCTCTATTTTTGCTTGACCAGCAATGCTCTTCCCATGTAAAGTAGTAACTCTCCTCCATTGAAGCACACACTGGCATTTTTCCCTCTTATTCCATCCATATTTCACTGATCACCATGATCATCACAGGTTGCACTCCAAGTGCTTCCTTGGAACCAGAGAATGTCCTTATGTGTGCAGCATTTAAACACAACTTGCTATCATGTCTCTGTTTCCCTCCTTCTCCTCAGATGTAAAGGAGCATCCCACTATGGCCTTACCAAGGAACGGAAGAGGCGTTCCCAGGACTGCTCTCCAGACCGTGGCTCCAGCTTGGCAGTGGCTGCCCTGGGCCCTGAGCTCTCAGCAGCTGCGGCCATCGCCTTAATGACAGACGAGCCGGGGCTGGTGAACCCGGCCTTCAGCCCCACCTCAGAGGAGAGCCAGCTGGGCAGCAGCCCCGGGGACCTGCACCGCAGCAACCGCAACCGGAGTAAGAGCCAAAAATGGCAGCGTCAGAGCCTGCTAGCCCCTTGCAACATCCATTTTTATGTTAAATATGTGTCACTGGAGGATTAAAAAAATAATTTAAAAAAAAAGAAAAAGGGGTGGGGGAAGTGAAAGCTTTCATTTTTCATGGTTTATCAAATTGTGCACTCAGTGACCCAATAGATTTGAGGTGAAAAAAAAATGGTTTGGCCAGGGGCGGGATCAAGCTGAAAACGGACTAGCTGTACACATAAACTGCAAATCTTTAAAAAGATTATTTAGGTAAGTCAGCTCAGTTAAAAGATTAAGTGTTATGTGTGATGGGCTGGGGAGATGGTGTAGCTGGGTAATGTGTCTCCACTAAATCTTGGTGGCCCAAGTAATGCCCACAGACATGGCCACCTACCCAAAATCCTATTGGGAACTGTGTTTCCCACTTGCCAAGTATTTTCAGGAAAACATACCCTTAGGAGCCTGGAAAACATCTGCCAGCTTCTTGGAAAGGTGCAGTTTGGAGGAGCTGGTCCTGCTGAAATAACAACAGTCAGGGACAAGCTGCATCAGGGGACTTTGCCTTGATCTTTCACCTTGTGACACTTCACCTGTCTCTGGTGAGTGTCATGCTTGAAAAACACGTTCTGGCCCAAGCAGAGTCAGAAGTGTTAATGGTGAGTTCAAAGCATGTGTTTGAGGATTCTGAAGCTAAAATGGAAAAAGCCCACCTTGTGCGCTGCCAGTTGCATATGGGGAAAATGGATGAAGGGATGAAGAAAGACTAGGAAATGAGAAGCATTATCCATTTGTTGTGCCAGGGTTTGGAGAGGTGAGGAAAGGAAGGGTGCAAGAAGAGAGCACCAGAATCTCAATAAATTCTGTCAGTTTTATTGAGTGTAGAGGCCACAGTCTGGTTTGAGGGAATGTTGTATTATTAGATTACAATATTTGGCTAGCATGCAGAGCTGGAACAGACAGAACAGCCACAGCTATGAAGATATCTTTAGCAGGATGGAAAAGAGTGACATGTTTTGAAAGTATTATGACTTTTCTTTTGTATTGCTGTATCCCAGTCAGAATATGGGAGGTTTTGATCCCTCCCACCTGATGATAATATTTGAATTTTTTTACATGAAACAGTTGGCAATCATTGGTGGCTTTAGAAGCATTGCAAGGTTTTGAGACAGAAGTAGTAGTGGGGATTTTGTCAAGAGTTTTTAATGACTTCCAGCTTTTTTTGGTCAAACATGTATAGCTGAGAAAATATGTATTTTTCACAGAATTTCTCCTAATTCTGTCTTGATGGAGGATTATTCTTTCCAAAGCTACCACACTCACAGGAGATTTCTCCATGTGATTAGCAAAACAGACAGGAAGGAGGCAATTCAAGGGTGTGGGACTGAGGTAGGGTGATTGTACCCAGATTCAGGTGGGTGCAGCCTTGAAGTACCAGCAGGACTCGGGGGCAAAGGTGAAGTACAGGCAGCCCTGATGTTGGTGTTACATCCCATCATATGCCAGGGGCCGCAGAAATGCTGTGTTCTAGAGCAGAACTGCTGAACTGTACTGATTTGGGTTTTTTCCTGCTGTTGCAGCTCGACACTTTGAACGTTCCACTATAAGAAGCAGATCTTTTAAAAAAATAAACAAAGCGTTCAGCGTTCTTCGAAGGACAAAAAGTGGAAGTGCTGTTTCCAACCAGACTGACAGGGAAAGGGAGACTGCTGGAAACTCTGCTGCTGGAGAGGAAGGTAATGTTTGGTTCATCTTGTGGTATCACTCAAAAGGGGGTAGGGGGCCCTGTCCATGTGGGAGATGGATATCCATGACTGACGTGCCTTTCATGTGGTGGGCTGTGCGTGATTAAAACAAACAAACCAGAAAACACAATCTTTCCTTATTTTCTTCTTTCAGAAGATGTTACTGACTGGCAGGCAAGAATATTGCTGGGGTGTGTGGGACCTCACGTAGGGCTGTTCTCGTAACAGCCTGCATGCTATAGCCAGCCCAGGATCTAGCCCACGGGATGTGGGATCTGGGCATCTGGGATCTGTTACTGGAGCTGTCATTGATTTGCTCTGTAATTTTGTGCAAGTCTCTCCATCGGCATGTGCCTGTCCCTCTAAAGCAAATGGATCACAATAATCATACTTGAGAAGAACTTAATGAGTTTTGGCTAATGCGTATGAAGCACTGGAAATTCCCAGTGGGAGGATGGTATGGAACTGCGAAGTACTATAATTATTCTGCATTTCTGTGGGCTCCTTTATTACCTCAGCCAGGCAGGTGATGAGGTAAGAATGCTCTGCTCTTAAACAGCAGGGAGAGGCAAGTTTGTCTGAGGTATGTCAGGGATGAGGGGTCTGGCAGGTAATAACACTTAACATTTGGCATTCTCAAAGCAATAAGCAAATGTTACTAATCAGTTTGGACCATAATTATGAAACCAACAATGGCATTCATGCATCAAGAGGAAGTGATTATAGAGTGGGAATCAATGTCTTAATCGAGGTCTCCACTCACCTTATTATTCCTTTGCTTGATGCCTCAGCACCTCAAGTCTCTTCCCAGATCAAATGTTCAGAATGCAGGCTTTAAGAATACAAAATACCCAGCTTCCTTTTGCTCTGTATTCAAGTTGTCATTGAAACACACACAAAATAAGCACAAAAGGCTGCCAAATGCTAGTTTCGTGCATCATTGTGATGCCATTGTGAGTAGTGGTGAATTGGAGAACCATGTTCAATATTCTTATGCTTTGTTTGCTCATTCTTTCAGGAGCGTTTCACTATGTTACTGTGGTACTTACTCTCCTACTTCACATATTGCTGACAGAGCCAAACTCATACCTGGTAATTCAAAATTGTGAACCTTCTCCATAAAAGGGATGGGAATATACTCCTTGACCTGGAAACATCATTAATAATTTTACTATATTTTAAAATAACTTAAAATTATTTTTATTATTAAAAATAATATTCTTTTTTTCCCAAGCAAAATTTTACAAGTTGTTTATACCTCTTTTTGAGCAGGCAGATAGATTTCTTGTTCCATAGTAACACTTCAATTCACTGTGAGCAAAAGCTTGCCTTTTTGTTAGGAGTGAAATTCTCCATGCCTCAAGTGCATATTTTTCAAAAGACATCCCTTCAGGATGATATACAGACCACTTTCCACCTAGACATATAGCTGACATTAGTAATAGCTCCACTGAATTCTTGGTTTCATGTCCAGCGTGTGCAAATAATCTGGATGTCAGCAGCACCTATCCAGTAGCCCAGCACAGTCCAGGTGTTAGCAGAAGTTAGCAGAAAGGTGAGAAGATGTCACTGGCCTTTACATTCCCAGCAAGTGAAAAGCATTGCTGTCTCTGTAAGGGATGTGTAATGGCAATCACTCCAGGGCCCCACTGACAGTGGCAGGATTGTCAGTCTCTCCTTGGCTCTGCTTGTGGTTTCATTCCTCTGCACCCAGCACACCTGTAAACTTCCAAATGTATTCTGCTGCACTGGAAAAACCAGGTAGGCATATAATTGCTTAATAAGCAGTTTCTCTTAAGTATGAGATCACAGAAGCTGGATACCTAAATTACTTTATTAATTACATTTGCAAAGAATACCTGTTCATACACCGTTCTAGAAATTGATCTTTAAAAAATGCAAGCAAGTAACTTGAAGAAATACAAATACAACTTGAACAAAGATTGCAATTCAGTCCTTTGCAACAGGTGCTTTGTGTAATGGCATCTCAAAGGCTTTCTCTGTTTCTTCTTGGAGGAGGAAATGAATGTACTTCTTTCTGTAGCAGTTATCATCATCCTGCCAGCTGGGGGCTGGTTTTCTTCTCCAGCTCTGTATGTTTTCTTCTTTTATTTATTTTTTTAAACCTCAGCTGCTCTGAGCACTCTGCAGCTAGACTTCTGATCAGAGCTGTTGGTCAGCCTTCAGGGATAGCTGCTGTGTGCTCTGCCCTGTGCTCACTGAGAGTCACACAGAAAAGGGAGCCCTGTGTCTCTGTCTCACCATTGCCACGCCACTCTCCTGGGAATGGGGATGCTCCTGTGGGGATCAATGAGGTGGTTCCTCACTTCAGACATCCCCACAGCCAGTGGGAAAGGTGCTGCTGCCTTTCTCATAGTTTCACAAGTTTGTGTCTGGGACCATCTGTGAAAAGAACTGAGCCATGACTCATTGTCCCAGGAGATCAGGCAGCGCTTCACCAACTCTCTGGTGACCACTTTCCTCACCAGGTTTAGTCAGTGCATGAGCAGAATAGAGCTGAGACTGTGCCAGCCTCACAGAGTGAATGAGCCCCTTCTTGCTGATAACCTCTTCTTGATAAAGGAGAGGTAAGGTCATCGGGCAAAGCTCAATGTATAATTCATCTGACTCCAGTTTTCAGTATACCCCCATCTCAATTCACATGTCTCTGTTTAATGTGTTTTGCCTGTATTTTGGTCAAAGGAGCTCTGGGAATGACCACCACAACAAGTAGCCATGTATTAGCCCTCAGCAACCCTTCATTAAGGGTGTGTGGGTGCATTTAACCTGAAGCTGCTATGTTGGTTGAGCCAGTGCTCAGCTGCAATATGACTGTGAGGGTACAAGACAAAATAATGGTTTCTGATGAGGGAGAAAAAAAAATCAAATTTTTCTTAACTTGAAGCTGAATCTAGAACTGGTTTTGGAAAAAACTGGCACCCAGGGACATTGCATAATATGGTGTATAATATCAAATGTGTTTCTGTTATAATTACAGCAAAGAAATAGTTACAGTCTAATGCTACCTTATATCTGGAGCTGGTAGCCATCCTGAACTGCAGAGATTACTTCATGATTTATGTTTATATCCTGTGGTTTCATTTGTTTAAACAATACTATATGTGTTCATTTTGGATTTAAATGATTCAGGCTTTCTTTGTTTCTGTTTTTGTGGCATTTTCAGTAGAGAGTTGTTAAATGTCTAAACCAAAGAAAATGTTAGAGGTGAATGAAAAGTACAAACACTAATGAAAAAATATTTAAGTGGAAGGAACTGTTAAGATTTTCTTATTTTTAATACTTTGTTATTTGTAAAATCCCATGCCAAGAAATATTTGTCTGCAGGCAGCACCCAAGCTTGTGATATTTATCTGAGAGCAATTTCATTAACAGCATTTACAGCTACAAATAGCTTTCCAGGTCTGAGGTAGAAGTTTAGAAAGTTTAAAAGAAAGAGTTTCACACTGAGATATGAGGGAAGGTGACAGGGACATGCTTAAGGCACGGATGCATTTAAGATGTAATATCTTCTGACTAGATCTACTAGTGTAAATGACATTGACAATCTATTTATGTGATAAAATATCTCCAAACAAAGCATGGTCCAGCTTTGCTCTGCTTATTTGTATCACTGTGCTCTTAGTTTGGCTTCACACCTTAAATTCATTTCCAAGAAGGTCTCTAGATATATACGTACTCTTTACTCAAACTGATCTACAAATACAAGTTGGGAACCAGCAAATGTTTTAGGAGCAAAGAATTTGCAGGTACAATTGATACACTTCCTTACAGTTTTAGAGTAAAAGAGCTCTGGTTTTGACTTCCAAAAGCATTCATTGATTTCATTTTGCAGTCAAGGCATTGTAAAAGAAATTTGATTTAGGATTGCTTGAGGATGGCAAATGTTTTTCAAAGTCAAACTCAGTCTCATAGTGGATGCAGTTCTACCATCTGGCATTGCTTTGCAGCAAAGACCAAGACAGCCCCAGCAGGCACTGGCAGAACCACAGAACACAGAACAGGCTCCCCTCTTGCACTGTTCAGTGTGAACCCTGTTATATTTTTAAGAGATCCAAATATACATACATATATATAATAGATAGATAGATAGATAGATAGATAGATAGATAGATAGATAGATAGATAGATAGATAGATAGATAGTATAAATACTTCAGTGTTTGGAAAAGTACATGAAGAAAAAGAAGGTAAGTGAAACACAGATGGTATCAACCATTTCATGGCATTAAGGCTACCTGTATGCAGAAAAAAGTGGTTTATCCAGCCCCAGGACAAGACAGCGCAGCCCAACCTCTGTCTCAGGACGGCTGCACCTCACAGAAATCCCACACTGTTCCTATTTTTCTCAGATTTTATTCAGCTGCCATTCTGATTTCCCAAAGCAGCTGTTACAGAACTGGTTCAAAGGACTCTGCTCTGGAACGATGAGCCAGGCAATTTCCCGAAGAAACATTGCCTCTGTAGCACTTCCTCTGCTGCAGACTGATGAATTTCCCTGCTGTGTTTGAGAGTCACAACTCTTTAGATACACAGTCAACTCAGCAACAGCTTCATTTGTGTTCTTTTGGGACTCCTTTAGTGAGAGGAATGTCCAGAAGCAAGAAGAGAGATTAGAACTGGCTTCACCTTCTACCTGCCCCTCCATTGGAGAAGCATCACTGGAGAATTTATGGAAGGCATTAAATCAAAATGATGGCAAACCTTTGGAAGGATGGCATGATAAATGAAAATCTATTTAGAAGGAAAATTTGCAGAATAAAGTTCCCCACCAGCACAAGGGCATGTAATACTTACAGACACATTAATTTTCCAAGACTAGGTTACACAAGCTTAATTTAAATTCTGGTGTCCAGATGCTGGGAAGGATGAATGTGTGCTGCTGCAGATGGTCCTGTTTGTGGGGGTGAGCTGGCACATTACTCAGGCTGCCTGATCTAAAGGAGGACTTGCAACCACAGATACAAGTTTTGTTTACAGTGACCTTTGATTAATCTGGCCCCAAGAGTCACAGCAAACATTGTCACACTGAGTCCTGGGAATGAAGGCAGAAGCTACCCTCGTGGCAGCTCTGTTGGAAGGAGCATGATGTGCACAGAAGTCAGCAGAAACCTGAGCACTGGAAGAATGCTACCATTAAATATTATAAACTGTGGGGAAAATAGTAAGCATACTTAAAATTTTGTAATTCTCTGTCATGGCCATTAAGAAACAAATGCTCAGTGTCCCACATTGTGCCACCTACATGGAGTTCACTGTGCAAAGTTGGTCTCTCTTATGTTGTTTCCCATAAAGTAATGTGTGAAAGTATTGGTAACATTGCACACTAATATTAAGAGAATACTGCCTGAGAAAAAAGCCCACACAGTCTTTCTGAATGCAGGTGACATTTTATTATATTAACAGATTCAGAATGCTCCATACAACCCCCCGTGACAAAAACACAACATTCTGTGGGAAAACCTGGAAGAATCACCAAAAACAAGACAGAAAGTTTCCTTCTCTCTAGATTCAGCAGCTCTTCGATATTTAAGGACTGGAAATATAAAATGGTAAAGAAAGGTATGCAATACTCCTGGGTTTTCCTGCTCTGGAAAACCTGACCAAAGAAAATGGAGAATTTTAAATAAGAGTGTAAGGGCTGGAAAATGGAGTCTGGAAAAGTGATACTCCAGCCTTACAACAGAATATATATATATATATATATATATATATATCTGAAAGGTACAAGCCCTCAACTCAGTTGGAGTTGCTTCAATTGGGTTCCTAAGCCCCCAGTCATTGTGTGCAACCATGTTCTAAACCAGGGTCCACCTTTTCTGGGTATGGTCTATGCATTAATAATTCAATTTGAAGACATTGCTTTCTAGACATGGAATCATCATGAAATATGGATGGTAAGTTTTCATCAAACTGCACACAATGTATGCAGACTTCTTGGTGAAAAAGCTATTATGAATTTTCTTATTCATATTATTTTTAAAAAGTGTATTTGTGTACTTTATATATTAAGATTGCCACACTTACTGTTAGTTTATCAAAATAAGCATTAGGTAAATAGGTTAGTTTATCAAAATTGGCCTTTTACTTATGACAGTCTACGTTGTTGAGAATACAAATGTCTGGGATGAAAAGAACAGGCAAGTCTTCAATTAAGAGAGCAGAAATTAATGGTTCATAAAGGAATTGTTTTGGTTGCTTTGCTCATCTGAGGAGAAAACATTTTTGTTTATTATATATATTTGATAAAGAAAAATCAAATAAAGACAGGAAGTGAGGCAGTACAGCCTGCTAACTATGAAAAGGTGACATTAGAGACTTGCAGACTGGCAAAAGAAAAATATCTTGGAAATATTTCAGTTGTTGTAGACTGCACATTTCAGAAGGAAATTAGATATCAAAAATTCCTCTTAAAAAATCTGCATAAAGCCATATTGAAAGTCAACCAAGTACTAGTGCAAGACTTAACAAACCAGATAAGGCATTGTTCAAAATGCAAAGAAACCTATTTATGTTTGTACATATGTAAATATGTAGGTAAGTCTTGTACAAGAGTAGAGACTTTTTCACTGCCACATTGCCCTGATTTTGGTCTGGGATAATTGCAGGTTGAAATAACATGAGAGTGTCAATAGCTTGCTCAGTCTACAATTCTCCATGGACAAGAAATACAACTGAATAATTCCTTTAGAAGGGTTTTCAGAATGAGCTATGGGAAAATGAACATCAGTGTCAAAAAGCATAGTTTGTTAGGATGTGAACTGAGTCATCATAATAGGTCTATTATAGCACTGTTTGTTATCTTCAATATATACATGTATATTAATTTATTTGCATGCAGGGAAGATCTAGGTGTCTGGATTTTCATCTGTATTTTTACACATAACCCTTAACACATAACCATTATAGCCACACTGAAATGTGCATGCAGGGATCAGGCCATTGGTGATTTTTGAGGAGTATTTGTGTTGTCTGACTTTAAGCACCCCACTGAGATGCCAGAGTTAATTTCTTCTTTTCTTACACTGCAGTGGAGATTTGGCACCTCCAGGGGTGATTTAGCATGGGAATATATCTCTTTGGGTGCCTGTGCACTGCAAAGGAAGTCAGAGCAAGTAGATCACCAAACTGTGCATTTGAGGCCTGGATTTAGATCATGTGAATCCACCCTTCAGGCTAGAGAGAATTGAACAAATTACAAGCTGAGCAAATAGCATTTAGAAAATAGAGGAGCATGGGGGAAATGAAGCACCTTCCATTCCTGAAATGTTAAAATTGCCTGCAAAACTGAAGTAAATCTGTATTAGCACAGAAACTGCTATTACAAGAATAAATGGTTGAGTATTAGGTTGGTGAAGGCTGTGTAGTTATCTAGACAGACTTTTATTGCCTGTCAAGTCTATGTAAAACCACAAAGTCGAAGTCTGTGCTACTGGTAGGTGCTTTTTACAGACGTGGAGGAGGACAGCTTCCCACCCTGAAGAGCATATGATCAAAGAAGTGGTAAGGGATGCAACATGGTGTTTCTCAATATATTTTTCCTGTTCTTTTTTTCCCCTTGCGCTCTCTCAAAAGGTTTTGGTGCCTTGCTGGTTTGTTGCCTGCTAATTCTGTAGGAGCAAATATTAATTCTATCTCAGATTCTGGTCTATAAAGTTTCATTTTTCACTTAACTACTATTTATTAACACTCATACTTTAATTTCTAAAATAGGTTATTGAAAAAAATATTAGCAGTTAATTTTTTGACTTACAGGTTTGTCATATAACCACTGGATTGGATTCACATGCAAAAAGTTTAAATGCTTTCTCTCAGCTTTGGGGAATTCAAAATAATTGAAGGCTGCTATGCCTGTGCTGGAAAATTCACTGCTGCTTTTACCTCAACTTTGCTCACTGCTGAATATGGATTAAAGCTTTGAATTGACCTAGAAGTAAAGAAAGTATTAGTGACATGCGAAATTTCACATTAGTGAAATCAGACATGCCAGTTGAAAAGTTGGGTTTGGAAGATGATACTCTAATCCAGTGCCTTTTAAATACAAAATGGGCACACCATTAGTCCCTCCTCCCCACAGCCAGATTGCCAGGGCCAGCAGAGATCTTTCCCTCCAGGTGCTTTGAGCATACTGTGGTTTTAATTGACACATCACAATAAGAGTCACTCATTCCTACTTTCTAGAGTTCAGGCAGTGATGAAATGAGAGTGGTCTGGCAGGAAAACTACTGTGTGCTTTGATTTGTCCAAACCTTTGGTTTGTTGCCTTTCTGGTAGCTAAAGATAAATTGGATGTCACAAGACAAGAGCCCCTGTGACACCAAAAATGGAGAAAACAGGGCAGCCTGGGATGCTACCAGTGAGATAGGGTTTACAGCCAGCACAGCAGGGATGGATGTTTGCTGAGGTGCCCATGCCCATCTGTTCTAAGGCCAGCAAGAAACCGTGGCCTGGTTCAGAGGTGTCTCTGGGGATCAAAAATGTACTTGATTTCCTTAAAATATTGTTGCGTATAACTGTAAGTACATTTCATCTGTCTGGATTACATCAGAGGTTAAAGCTGTATTTTGTGGGGGAAAGAGGAAATTTGAATATATTAATTGTAGAAAGTTCCCTTCAAGTCCATTCAGCAAGCTTATCTATCCTTTTCTTCCCACTTGGTATGAATCATATACATGCATAAAACCTAGCTTGACTAACTAGCAGGTACTTGAGGTTGTGCAGTGCATGTTTCAACAAAGCAAAGGTGTGTTGTCAGATAAATACCTTACAAATGTATTTCCAGGTTTTCCCAGGCTGTACCACCTGATTCCAGATGGGGAGATTACCTGCATTAAGATCAGCCGCAGCGATCCCCATGAAAGTCTGGCCATCAGGATCGTGGGGGGCAGTGAGACCCCTTTGGTTCACATTATTATACAGCACATTTATCGAGATGGGGTGATTGCCAGAGATGGAAGATTGCTGCCTGGAGACATGATACTAAAGGTACAGTACTGTGGAGGTAGGAGATAAAAATATCCTGACAAAGAATGAGATGGTTGAAGTCGATCACTATGAGATTTGCAAAGTTGCATGCAGAAAGCCGTTCTGAAGTTCAGAGCACCACCTATAAGGCACCATGATCTCCTGGCTTTTGCTGACCCCAGTGGTAGCTGAGGACATTTGAGGCATGCCAAGGTTGTGCCATGCTTTCTGCTTTATGTCAGACAGACTTGGCCAAAGAGATTTCCCTTTGGAAAGGGATCACAATGTGGGCATACTTCACTCTAGCAGTGAACAAAAATGCTTCTGGATGGTGATTCCCAGCAGCAGCTGCATAGCATGCACACCCAGCTATGTGTTTCAGGAAGCCTTTTTGTCCTGGTGCCAGCACAGAGCAGCAGAGTTAATGGCACCGCTAAGACAAAGCTGTTCCTGCAGGGCACATCCAAACTGCACAATGAAGCTGTGACTGTGGCACGGATGGGCCCAGCCTGGCTCTTCCCTGCCATGGCTGACTGCCCAGGATTTACCAAGGATTCCTGTGAATTTCAGCCCCATCCTGGTGCAGCTCGTGCTGTTTGTGGTACCCGAGGTAGCAACTTAAACTAGTTGAGCTGTCTCTCTGGGTGCAGTCCTTCCCACCAGACTGCAGCAGAACAGCTCCATTGTTCCCACACAGGAAATCTGCAAAAGCAAACACCAGCCAAATGCCTTTGTCTGTGCTGGGGATTATTTCTCTTACATTTTGGAGATGTTTCTTAATACTTAAATGGTTCAACCTGTGCAATGTAAAGCTACATGGAAATATCTTGTCTGATTCAGGTTTTCAAGCCAGCGATGGAATACAATCTTGCAACTGGTTTTCATTTAGCAATATAAAGTGCAATGCCTAGTAACTCTTACACATATGAACATGATGGGATTGACTGGAAACTCTTTTTTCCTCTTTCTTTTCCTTATTCAAATTTAAAAAGTAGTAGTTATACAGTTTTATTCTCATCTGAATTAAATCTTACCTGGAAAACACTGAGGGAAAAGAGGGAAAGTCTGATTCTCTAGTGTGGTAAATCAGCATAATTGTTAGTAAATATCCAAGGCATTTAAACTTCTACTTGAGGCTCTTTCCTTCTTTGTAGTTAGAGATTCATTAGTGAAGATTTTTTTTTTTTACTGTACCTAGAACAGCTGGGAGATAAAGAAGAAAAGAAACAGCAGGAAAATAGTGGGAGTGAAAGGAAAGGCTGGCAAGGCAATTTGAAATAAGAAGCCTGTGGAATAAAACTAAGATATATGAAAGGATATTGAAGCTTGGGAAAGAGCAATAAGAAAGATGAGAACTAGCATGTATGGCTGGAGACTATCAGGGAGCAAGGGGAAAAAAAAGGACAGAAACTGTCTGTGCAGCGCATCCTTTCCTTGCGGGGAAGATTGTTCTGCACCACAAACTTGGCCTCGTGTGTGACACAGTTTGCAATAGCACATGTCACTTCATATGAAGACATCTGTGTATCTCGATCTGCCCTCCGCAGTGCCAGCTCAGAACAGACCGTCTTTCTGCTGCTGATTTACACTTCTCTATTCCAGGTAAATGGCATGGACATCAAGAATGTGCCTCACAACTACGCGCTGTCAATCCTGAAGCAGCCGTGCCACGTGCTGCGCCTGACGGTGCTGCGAGAGCAGAGGTACCGGTGCCGCAACAGCGGCCTTTCCTTCGATGCTCACTGCAACAGGGACGACAGCTTCCACGTCGTGCTGAACAAGAGCAGTCCGGATGAGCAGCTGGGCATAAAGCTGGTCCGCAAGGCCGACGAGCCGGGCGTGTTCATCTTCAACCTGCTGGAGGGCGGCATGGCAGCGCGGGACGGGCAGCTGCAGGAGAACGACCGCGTGCTGGCCATCAACGGGCACGACCACCGCTACGGCAGCCCCGAGAGCGCCGCGCAGCTCATACAGGTTGGTCCTCCCCGCCCTGGCCACGGCCTTTGAGCCGGGCGAAAAGCCAACAGCAGTTTTTCACCATCCACCGCAAAGCAAACAAACGCTGAGTCTGTGTATCTGGAAGAGGGAAGGAGTCAAGATTGGAGGGGAATTTACTCCTGTGAAAGCTCCTTGGTTTTACTGTGGGGATGAGTCTGAGCATGTGCATGGACTCCCACAGAGGAGCCTGCTACCAGTCTGGTTTGGAAAATATGGATCAGTGCAAATATCTGTATACTCTGATCATCACCAGAGTGCTGCCAGCTGCCAGGAGGCATGCCAGCCTCCACCCTGGCAGCACTGGTTCCAGCAGAATCCTGACTCCTCTGGCTCAGGAGTCACTGTGCTCTCTGGAGCACAGCCCTGGAGCTAACCAGAGTAGCCTAAGGCTGTGGACCACCACTAAAAGGTAGTCCACACCTTGTAGGTATTTCTTACCTAAATCCAGAATATTTTGGAAAAATGGATCTGTAGTTATTCACCTCTGTTTAGACTCACATGGAGTACTAAATGGGTGCTAGCTAACACAGAACTGTCAGATGAAAAAAACCCCATGCCTTTCTCAGCTGCAAAATTGGTCAGCTTCTGCCTAATTTTCCCTCCAGAACCAATTTGGGTTTTTTTTTACAGACTATGTTTTTATAAAACTTCAGCATAGAAAGCAAAGCCAAGAATCTTTTGTTGCTTTTATCTCATATTTATAGCTGTTATTATACTTGTGCAATTTTGAATTTCATTTGGAGGCATGTAGACTGTTCACATTTTGAAGAAATTCATGGGCTTCAGTAACAAGATGTCAAATCAGGCCAGCTTCTTCTTCTTTCTGACCAGTATAATGAGGATAATATCAGTCAGACTGAAGCAAACAGTCAAATCCATGCATTTTGTGGAAAGGATTTCTGTGTTAGCATAGATTTACCGTTTGTTTTAGACAGCTTTTATTGTGAAGTTTATAGCATAGGTGAAGAAAATATCATCCCCTTACATAATGCCAATTGTTGAAATTCTGGTCCAGCTTCTTTCTGGATTACCTTATGAAGCTCAGTAACTGGGAACAGAAGGCAGAAGGGGGAAGCTTTAAATTCTCTAAGGGCAACAAGTCTGGAATGAAAAATTTTCTAAAAAACTATTATTCTTGGAACAGTTCTTTATGGCTACAAAACAAGGCATCAGTGCTTCATAAGCAAAAATGGATGAGATGAAACGGAAAAAATTATTAACAAGACTATTCACATACAAGTGTTTAAAAGTGCAACCAAAGCCCTTATTGGTCTCCAAAGAGTGGATGATAATTATAATAATGCTTGAAATGCACACCAATCCTTGGGAATTTAAACAAGCCCATCAAAGGGGAAATTCAGGTTTCCAAACAGCCAGGATTATATTGCATTGATGTGAGGTCTACAAATCACATTTATCTAATGCAAAATTCCTGGAACCTGTGTCTTTTTTGTTGTTTTTCATCAATTATCATTTGCCTTTCCTGTTTCCATGTTATGCCAGAGAAAAACCTTTATCCTGAAGCCACAGGTGTTTTGCATTTTCTTCTTACACGAAGGGCTATTTCACTGTGTCCTCTGATTTCTCAACAGCATCCTTCCTGCCTGTTGAGAGCTCAGCATGCCACTTGCAGTGCATTGAGGTCTTCTAATTTATGGTGGTGAAAGCTGCAAATACACCATCAGTTTCTTTAAAAACAGAATATTCTCTAAAAGGTGCAGTGGCTTGTTAAACCAAGGAGCTTTCACAGCAGGAAGACTGTAAGATTTCTGTGTAATCTGATTAATTTTGACTTTTAAATAATGAATAATTGAGACAATTGAGACCTATAGAAACTATACAATAGCATATGTGAAGCAGTTGCTAATCAGTAGATTAAGTGTCTGGCTGTTTATTAGCTCTAAGCTCTGTCACAGGAACTGAAATGAAGAAAATGTATAAGTGCTAATTAGGAATGTGCACACATCATAACACATTTGCTGCCTCCTGTTTGCCAAATCATCTCAAGCCATGGCCTTGTGTCAGAACTGGCCCTTTGAATCTAAGTAACAAGACATTGTGTCTCTGCCTTCCTGCTTGATTTGCCTTTGCTCTAACAGATTTTAATTCTAGTGGAGTGTTTCAGCTCTTACTTGCACTTGTCATCAAAGCTCACCTCCTTTCTTTAATTTCCACTTCAGCATAAAATATAGAGAAAGAATTGTGGGAAAAGCCACTGGTAAGAGGGAGGGAAGAGATCAGAATGAATCAGCAATAAATAATCTGATCAGTAGAAACATTAATGGGTTTTCATATGTATGTAAATACAAAAGCTGTTCTTGTTGTTTGGATAACTTTCTAAACCACTCTGACTTCTGAGAAACTCAGCTTGACTGGCCCGTAGACAAATGTGCCATTGCAACAGAGACTCTTGTTGAACTTTTGCTAGTTGTTCTATGAGAATTAATCATGTTTTACAACCTTTCTCTAAATAACCACTTTTGAGGCTAACCATGTGGCAGCAGATAAATTTCAAAAAGAAGTTGTGTTAAGTTGAAACTGTTCATTTTACAGAAAACAGTATTTTCATAGGGCCACGTGTCCTTGGGAGGTTTAATCGTGTGTTGTTCAGTTCCACCTCAGTCATATTACAAACTAGGGACCAGGATGATTTCCTTTCTCCCAATATGCAGAATTCTACTTTTGGGTACCAGTTGAGTCCAGAGTCCATGAATTTAATATTCCATAAAACCAGATCTGTTAAAAATGTCTAGAAAGTTATTTGGAAATATGTATATGCACTAAATTGTATATTATGAAGCTGTGAAGATTTGAGTTTCTAGTCAAAAAAATAGCATTCCCCAAGATATTGGGAAAGTAACAAAGACATGCACATTTTTTACTTCACTGAAAATAGCACGGCTTGAACATGTATATTTCAAACTTGAAGTTGGAGGTTTAGGAGAGTTAGGTTGTTTTTTCTTAACTAAAATGACATTTTTCCAAGGCTTTTTTAAACTCTCAGCTACAGCTATTGAATTCAACTCCAGAAAGGACAAACAAAGCTATAAAAACAAAATTCCCAGAAGCTTCCTCTGGCTTCTGTTAATTGTCTGTGGGAGATTTGATTTCAATAGTGCAACCGGATCTGTGTTTGGTTTTCAGCTGCTTTTTCAATGCCAGCTTTCCCTGGAGCATCTCCCCAGTGAGCAGTGCTAGCAAGAGAGCCAGGAGGTCTGCAGTCCCAGGGCTGTGGTGCCACCAAGCATTGCAGCTGCAGCCCCAAGAGCATCAGGCTGTGGTACCACCAAGCATTGCAGCTGCAGCCCCAGGGGCATCAGGCTGTGGTACCACCAAGCATTGCAGCTGCAGCCCCAGGGGCTGTGGTGCCACTAAGAATTGCAGCTGCAGCCCCAGGAGCATCAGGCTCCAGATGTGTTTGTGGGGGCTTCTCATTGGATACTGAGCAGTTCCTCTGGTATAAGCTGAGAGCAAGCAGGCAGGAGTGCCTCTGCAGACTGGTCATTAAGAGCCCCTCCTTCCTGGCAAAACAGCAAGGTCTTTAGCCTAGAGAGAAGAAGATTAGAGGATTAATTTTCACATCTTCTGAGTATGCTTCTATAGCACTGGGGTTATTGCTACACTGTTCTTCATTTTAGTTTAGTATATTTGTTTGTGGCAGGCATCTATAATTTAGTGTAAATGCCATTCCCTCTCAGCTATATCTTTGCATCACTGTTGTCTTGAACAGATTCATATGAGCCTCGGTGAGGGGCAAATGAAGCCATTTGCTTCCAGGGAAACAGTGATGATTCAATAAGATAGAAAAAATCCCCACCTGTTCACAGAATTAACATTAATATCAGGCAAACACACACAGAGCCCCTTAAAAATAACATACAACGTAACCTCAGAAGTATCATTGCAGCATCTCTTGGGCACACAAGTATTCTGACTGCCTTATGAAAAAAGGCCTAGAAGCTCTTTGAGCTTGGGTTATTTGCTTTGAAACTGCTCTTCCTAGAGTGAGTTTGTGAGCTGCTTTCCCATCCTAAACTTCATTACCCTGTGTGCTTGCTCATGCCCACCCTCTTTCTCTGTGCTCTGCTGCAGTAGGATTTTATTTCACTAAAGAAAATACCTTTTCTCCCTTTCTTTAAGCTTCCTTACATTTGTCATTCCCATTGCATGCCGGTGGACTTAATTACATTGTTTATTCTCCACTTCCACTGGGCAAGGCCTAAGCACATCCCTGGTTTCAGGGTTAATTGTAGCTTTTTCAGCTTTCCCATCCATTCTGCAGCAACAGCTCTGGTAGTTTGCCTGTCTCTCTACCATGGCAGGAGAATTGCAATGGTATACACCTGTGTATACCATTGCTTTGCAGTGGTATACACAGGTGTAGAAGAGAGCTGATCAGAACGCACTGTGGTGGATCACTGCCAAATTTGGGGCAGGTAGGAAGGATTTTTTAGTTATCACCAAGTTTTCAAGAGAAATATTAAGTAGCAGACAGTAAACTTTTATGAACTTCATTGACCTGAACTGATGCTACTGCTTTATGTCACAGCATCCCCATTAATGGGAAATCCAACCAACGTTTAAGTGGTTCCCGCGTTTCCCAGGCACTGCGGGGCTGAGGTGCGGGGTTCACAGCTCTGGGGCCGTGGACTCACAGTGTGCTCCCCCGCAGGCCAGCGAGAAGCAGGTTCATCTGGTGGTGTCGAGGCAGAGCCGGCAGCAGCCCCCGGACCTGCTGCAGGAGACGGGCTGGGCTGCCAGCGCCGGGGGCGCCCAGCCCTGCCCCGCCGAGAGGAGCGGCCCCGGCAAGGTGAGGGCTCTTGTGTGGGGTGCCTGCCATCCATGGGCGGGGGAACGGGGGAGCAGGGAGTGTTTGGTGTCTGAGGGTGTTTGCTCTGGCTTCTGCCACCAGAAAAAGCGCGTCTCGCTTGGCAATGGAAACACAAAGGCTGTGCCGCTCATTATCTGTCCGCTGGTTCTGCCCTGACTCTGCCTGGTGTGGGAGGGAAAGAGAAGGCAATGGGCAGTGCTGGGGCAGGTGCTGATGTGCACACAGCGTCCTGGCCACGGCCACAGGTCTGACCAGCAGTGGGAATCTGCAGATGACAATGCGCTCCAACAAAAAGAAATTTTTTTCCGAAGTTTTTCCATCTGTAGCATAGTCTTCAGACAAAAAGCTTTCACATGCTGGCCTAAAAAATTCCCATAACCTACTCAAGAATTATGGCCATCATTAGGCTGTTGCTCATTTATTAAAATGCCCTGGCTGCTGAGAGCACAAGGACTTTCTGTGGAGCGTTTAGACCCAAAGTGTGTTTGTTCTGCTCTGGCAGCACCTGGAGCTTGCAAGGTGTGGGGTGTGCAAGGGCTGCTGGTGTGCAGCACCCAGCCCAGGGACACAGCACAGAGCAGCCATCTCACCCAGATCAGGCTGTGCTTGCCACACTGTGCCCCAGCTGTCCCTGTGTACCTGGCCAGAGTGTGTGTTCTGTGCATCTACACTCACAATATTCTCTTTGCCTGAGGCAGAGAAATGCTGATCTTCAAACACAGGAGGTCTTAAGTAGGAACCAATGCAGTTAGAGGTTTGAAAATATGTTTTCTGAGTTTGCTCAGTGTTATTCCTTCCACATTAGGCAGAACAAGGCATGTCCTTGGAGGAACTGATTTTTTTTTTTTATTTCACTAAATTTGAACCCACATGTCTGGCTAATTTACATTAATCACCCTGAGTGTCACCACTTATGCAAACCCATACAAGCTTGACCCTGGCCACGGGTGCCAGGGGGTATCAGGGAGGTGTGCAGGCAGGGCTTAAGTTCATCCTGCTTGATGGATAGCCAGTTGTGTCCTTAAAGAGACCTCTGGACCAAATATCTGGTGCACAGCTGTCAGCCAGGAGACATGTCTAGCTCTGGATTTTACACATATTAAAACATACGCATTTTTGCAGGTCTTTTAAAACTACATTATTCAGTGTTTTTATGTGTTAAAAACTCTAGTGTTTATTTACATATTTTTAGTTTTCCTTTCCCACAAAGTCACAATCACAGCTCTTGTTAGTGGGACCAGATTGGCAGGAGTTAAAACAGAAAGCAGGCAGTGTTCAGTAGCTACTAGCAAGTAGCCAGTAGTGCCCAACTAATGCTGCATCTGCAAGGCATGACCTTCTACTGAAGCAATGATTTCCTTAAGAAGGTAAGTGTGGGACAGCAGTTAGCTTGTGTCGGTACTGCATTCTTCCTAGGGAAGATCCAAGCACCTGCTAACTCTGCCATGTTGTTCTGAGTAATTAATTGATACCACACGGGATTATTTGGGAACAGAGCTTGTTTCTCTCTGCCCTGAGATCCTCATTTTCTCTTCCTGTACCAAGAGATGTTGGATGGGAGTTCTTGGTAAGTCCCACAATATTTTGGGTAGCTGTGAGATTGAAGGCACAATGAACAGTCCTTTAATAAGCAAGTGCTATAAAGACTAAGGAATCATCTCTTGTTGCATAGGCCACAGCTTTTAGGGGGATTTCCAGTTTTCCACCAGAGATGAGCGCTGCATAAGCACATGAGTGGGTGTACTGCTGTGGGCTTCTGTGCAATGCCACCATTTGGGCACTTTCCAGGGAAGATCACAGGCCAAAAAAGAGAACTCTGAACTGTTCCTACCTCCCTTTAGCTTTGTGTGTAGGTAGTAGAGGGCTTCTATCAGAGAAAATGCTCTGGCAGTAGATCAGCAGATCAGTACAGCCAGCAGACACAATGAGCTTCAGGCACTGTGGACTTTTGGTCTGATACAAACATTACTGGAGTGTTAGTTGCCCTTTTATAGGGCATGACTGTGTCAGTTTAAATATTTCATGGTATTTTGCTGAAGGTTTAACTGAACATAATTTGCAATTCAAGATTTTTAAACTGGCTTTGAAAGATTAAAAAAAAATGTTATTTATTTTAAGCAGGCATTACTGCAGGAGCAATGCTTGCAAACCTAGGGCCTGTACATGACATGCTCCTGCCCAAAAACCAAGGCAGTGCTTGTTGGTGGGGCCTCACTGTCAGGGGAGTCTCCCATGTGTGTGTGGTCTGATGAGTCTGCTGCCTACTGCTATCAGTGGGATTACTTTATTACATGTGATTAATAGAGGATTGCTAGCTGCCTTGATTTCTGGCTAATTTTAAGGCATTTTTTGTCCCCTGAGCTTACTGAGGAAAGTGATATTAGATGGTCAAGAATGCTCTCTTTGAGTGAAACTGCTCTCACTGTAGAGCATGTATGTGTACATGGGCTGAAATCTGCTCTCAACCCGTGGCTGTATTCAGCATCAAGAATAAGCTCTAGCTTCCATCAAGAATAAGCTCTAGCTTCCATCAAGAATAAACCCTTGCTTCCAGCAGCCACCTGGCTCGTGCAGTGGTTCAGGAGCCACTTTGGGCCAAGCTCTTGGCCTCAGGACAGCCAACCTCCATCTGTACAGGGTGGGGAGGTGACAGGGAGGTTCCTCTCCTTCAGCCCAGTGGTGACCTGCCGTGTTGCCCACAAGGCTCTGGGTAAGAAGAGGATGATCCCTTGTGACCATGTCCTTCTCTGGAGGTGTATGCCAGGTGTATGGTGTGCCAAGAGATTGGTCCTGCCCAGGGTCTCATGGATCTGTTTTCCTCTGTACAGAGACTGGGGAAGCACAGCCCAAACTGTTCTGGCTGCTGCCTGGACTCAGAGAAGAGACGTCACAAACACTTTCTTGGGCAGCTGAGGTTGTGAAGCCAGGCTGTAACACATAAACAGGCCTGATTCAATTCCTTTGAAGTCACTGGGAGCTTTGCCATTAATTATATAGCACTTGTTTTTAATTGGAACTGTTTTCTTATTTCTTTCAAATTAATTGTCTAGTACTTAGGGCAAAGAAAATGTTGCTGGAGCAGGCAATGTTTCCTGACCAAATGAGCAGGTTAACCTTCAGGTAAAGTACATTTTCCAAACAGACACAGCGATGTTTTTTGCCTGCAAGACACGTGTCATGGCTTTGATGTTGTGATAATCTGCTGTAAATATTTATTTTCTAGTAAATATACAGAAAAGGAGGAAAAAATAAAAAGAGGAGGAGATGAACTGTTATGTTTTTCTTCTCCTGACCTCCAAGGTCGCTTCAAAATGACAGAGAAGGACAATTGTTTAGAAGAGAATGCTCTGAAATGCAGTCACTGATAAACACTGCCTTTTAACTGGTTTGCTTGCTATCGATTGTACCTCCAAGCAAGTTCTACGTGTGTTTACTAAAAAAGGCTTTACTTTCCTTTCATCACTGCCTTCCTCTCAGTCAAGTCACTCCAAGTCCTTTCTCTCTGCAGCCATATAAAAAATGACATGGGAAAGAGTAGCTTCAAAGGAAAATTGGTTCTTTGTGGTTCAGCATACAAGTAATGGTACTTCTATAATTCTTCATTGAAATGTAGTAGGACAATTTATTCCCAAGCAGTACTTTGAAATCTTTCCTCTCTGTGCTGATTCCTCAAAAAATAGTGATAAACTGGCTAATGCTCTAATGTTTTAATTGTCTGAGATGTATGCTACATAAGTAACAGGACTGCTTTCTCACTCAGAGCCAAAAATAGAATCCCAATTTCATGTTTTGCTGCAAAATTTCAAATCACAATTTTGGGAAAATTAGTAGCCCGCTATCCCACATATTTCAAAAAGTGGACTTTTCCTGATGGAAAGCCATTCATTTTCAAGGGAAAAAGGATATTTTTGCAAAACATGGATGAAACATTAAGTTTAATTTGCATAAAGATAGAACTACTATGTTTAAAATATTTACACCTTAAAGACATAGGTGAAAAGTTAAAAATTATCTGGATCAGAACATAAAATTTATCAGGAAGAGAACATTTTCTGAAGGTTTTAAAACCTTCAGAAATTGATAGGTTTGTTTGCAAGCACTAAGACAAATTCCTGTGACATAGTGCCTACGTTCTGCGTGGACCACGTCTAATATGTCCAAACAACTGTGTGTGGTTTTCTCTTAGAGAATGAGAGAATTCTTCTTTCCACCGAGCTCTTTGCCTTTTTGTTTCTGAAGTTCTGTGGCAGCTACTGTTCATCTGCTCAAGCAGAGAGAAATCCCTTGCTAAGTTCCTAGAAGGTCCCGTGTTCTGTTGTTAACATTGCATCACAGAAATCTTGATGTGGAGTTAGTTCCACCAAACATACCTTTAAAAGAAAGCACAAATCAAAGACATAGTCTGCCCTACTCCCATAAAAAAATTCTTGCCATAATCTTCCTTTGTCCCATCATTGTCACTTAGGGAGGCATTGTGGATTCATCTGCTCCACTTTCCATGCTGCTGGCCCAGGAATCAATGTAAAATGTCTTTGTGAGATGTCAGATTACTAAGAGATTAATGTGGCTTTAAATGAGTTTTATAGTATTTTTGCATATTACGAGGTCACATTTGTGAATGAGAAGAGTCCTTTAAATATGCATTTGAAATGTATTTAGAAGCATGCTATTATATATGAGCCTGGAGTGGATAATGCTGCTCCTGCAAGAAGGGCTGGGATTGTCAGGAGTTGATGTCAGGAGCACTGCTTAGGAAATACTTAAGGAGAGCAAAGCAATTAACATTTAAATCCAGATTTATTTGCCTTTCAAACTCTTCTGTAAGAACTGAGTGCATGGTAAACATGGCATTCAGTTCAGAGATTTTGTTGGAGCTTGCATTGCAGCGGTTCTCCATCCTGAGGGCACCTCAGGTTTGTTGCACCCTCACTCATGCACCAGTTATTGCATGACCAGCTGTGTGTATATAACTTTTCCTGCTCAGAGGCAGAAATATATGGGATGGCTGTCCCAAATTGACCCTTCAAGCAGAAGCACTAAGAGCACCCTGGAAACTGCTCTCTCTTCACTGTAAATGTCCTTCTCTTTTCCTGAACAGAAACACTTATTCTTCAAATGTATTTCCACCCATAACTTACATAGAAACACAGACATCTGGAAGATCAAATGAAATATGTCTCTTCTAGTATGTCCCAAATGATTTCATTCCTCAAATCCAAGAGGACTATTTCTCACTAACTACAGATGATGCTCAGACTGCAAGCAGCAAGATACAATGCATAACCTGATAGTAAAAGATATGATGACCAGTAGCGATATTATTATCAAGAACTTTTTTTTCTTTTAAAATCAAATTCCTTATTTACTTTTCAAGGACCTGATTCTATCGGCCTTAGGACTAAAACAACTCCGGTTTTCATGGGAGCAGTGCCTGACTTTAACTATTAAAGCACAATTATCTTGGTGGTAGCTCTGACTGCAGTTGCTTAAGCCCCTGAGGGAGTCCTGCTGGCCATCAGGCCGTGTGGCTGGGAAGTGTCTTGGTGTTACTTCCATGAATATTTGTTTTGATAGAAAATGCCAAAACTGTCAGGGAGGTCACCATGCCCACAAACTGTGTTTGTTGTTGCTATTTTCTCCATCACAGAGCACCCTTCACACTGTCACCTGTCACGAGAAGGTGGTGGCTGTCCGGAAAGATCACACGGAATCGCTGGGAATGACTGTGGCAGGTGGAGCATCGAACCGGGAATGGGATCTGCCTATCTATGTGATAAGTGTGGAACCTGGAGGAGTGATCAGCAGAGACAGCAGGATAAAAACAGGTAAAAGGGGGGGATTTTGAAAGCCTGCCTTAAATCAAGAGCTTCTTTTGAAAACTGCGGGATAGTGAAAGAGCTTCACACTCTGACATCTTCAACAATCCTATAGATTTTGGGATGTGTCAGATTAGAGGATCTCAAGTCAGCTACCAGAAAAGGCATAATATGCAGCAGTAATCATCTCTGTGAAGTAGGACATAGGAATATTCTGGTAGGAAAAAAAATATAAATAGCTTTTCACAGGTAAATTCTCCTAACTCTTGATATATTCATTGTGCAACCTTCATGCGTTTTCAAAGTAATTTTTTTTTGCTTATTTGTCGTTGCATTCATTAATTTGAATTAAATATACAGGATCAAAATTCCCATTGTATATGAAGCCATATTAATGCCTTGTGGCTCAGCCTCATGTCTGGAAATATTAGCTTCCTACCCCCATTTAGCTACTGATGTAACAGGATGATAAGGCTGATAGTTTCTCCCCTTCTGCATGAATAAGCTTTTAGAGCCAGATGAGGACCATATTTTATCAGTTGATTTTGTGGGAATAGCTGGGCAGCAGAGGAAAGATGAAACTCTCAGGTTTCAGGATGTTACATCCTCAAGAGCCAGATCCCTCGGTAGCTTGCATCCAGCAATGACACAGCTCACCTACCCTTCATCCCCTATATTCTTCCTTAGTCCAGTCACTGCCTGGAAACTGAAGGGAAATCTTGAGTTTTAGGGAAGTGAAGGCACCCAAAAATGGGGCAGAATAGCTGCAACCCAGTCAGATCCCAGGAGCCTGGGTCTCAGTGCCCAGCATTGGCACACATGGGAACTCCCTCTTTGTGCCTACTCAATGAAACCCATGTGAGAACACAACAAAGCAAAACAGCAGATTTCCCCTTTCCTTCTGCTGGGAGATGAATGCCTCTCAATGGAGTACACTTTCCAAAATATATTCATCATGAGGCAGCATGGAAAACTCAGCCTAGTTAATTTGATAAAATTAGAAACAAATGAATATGTGATGTTATAATAGCACCAGAGGTCTCTGATGTAGAGCAGCTCTTAGGCTGTTGTCCTTCTTATTGGGGACAGACAACAAGAAGAGATTAATGCTCATTTGCAGTGCCTGGACTGCCAGTGATAAATCTCTGCCTGGAGAAGCATCCAGGCGAAGTATAGAGGGCACCCAGGAAAGCCCTGGCGTGGCAGCCTGCTCTGAAGGGTTGCAGAGCACTTGGCATTGAGGCTGCCTGCATGACATTAGTGATGTCTTTATTGTTCTTCCTGTAGTAATTGAGGTCATCTTTGCATTTTTCTCTGTGGCTGCTGTGCCTATATTATAAATAAGGCATACAGAAAAATGGTTTGGCTTGCAGCCATTCAAACAGGCATTAATATGAAAATAATAACATGTTATTCCACAAAGCAAACTAGGAAGAGCCAGTTGGAGTGGCAGTCCTCTGCTAAGGGAGAGCTGGGAGAAAAAACATCACTGAGTTGTGGGGTTTCAAGCTTAGGCTGAGTATAAATGTTGTTAGCTGGAAGTGGACTCCAAGACCCAGAGCAGTACTAGGCACCAGTACCAAAGCTTGTTGGTGCAGCAGGACCCCAGCTGTTTGTTCAGCTCCAGATGCAGGAGATGACGTGGAAAGAAACCAGGACAAATCCTCTGTCCAGCCACGCAAGGTTTCTGTGTACAGGAATCTCCCCTCATGCCTGTGGCATGTTTACTAGCGTATGCTTTGTTAAACGTTAGGAATAACAAAAATCCTCATCAGGCTGCTGGTTCTTGGCCATGGATTTGACTCACTTGTTTGTGGAGGTGGGGAGGGGATCCTGGAAACACTTGCAGAGTTTTTTATCATCTGCTTTATTGGTCTCAGGTGACATCCTCCTGAACGTGAATGGCATTGATCTGACGGGAGTCAGCCGGGGCGAGGCCGTCGCCCTGCTGAAGAACACCAACTCCTCAGTGGTGCTCAAAGCCCTGGAGATGAGAGCATGTGAAGCCCAGGAGGAGCAGGGTCATCTCCCACCCCCTGAGGACACACAAGTGACTGCTGAGAGCAGTGAGTGGTCGCCGTCCTGGGTTATGTGGCTGGGGCTGCCACGGTAAGTGCACAGATTGCAACCTCTGGCTGAGGGGGAGTGAGAGGAAAGATTTGTATTTTCTGGCAATACTTTCTTTTGGCTTGATTCATTGCACTGACATCTTAATTAAATCCAGGCTCTGTCACCGACTTGACTCTACATACCTCCCTTTGGTAAATGGGTATGTGTACATGGCAAAATAGACATGCAGTTCCCCCGTGAGGGAGGATAGGATGCTGAATTGTTTCAATCTTGTAAACGTATCTGGCACTTAGGGAGTGAAAGGAAAATCTTACACGGATACAGGAGCTTGCTGAACTGGAGTTTAGGCTCAACCACCCTGCAGAAGGCAGATACCCCTCCTGCAACACTCAAGCTGCACAGCCCTTCTCCTTTGCCAAATCCAGCTGAATTGTTTGACTTTACCCAGATGTTGAAAAGTTTGTGCAGTTGGCCAGTATCTCCAAATCACCTCTTTTAACCCCACCCCCGCTTGAAAGAAGTCCATTTGTCACACACAGGAAGCAGCTGTGTTGTCGTTTCAGCAAGGATAACTGGAGCCACATCGGCTGTCGCTGAGCTCTCAGTGTGCACGGTGTAATACCTACAGCTTCCAGGACATTCCAGACAGAATGAAATGAGGACACACTGTCAATCTGTGAATATGCAAAGCTGGGATCACAGACTTGAAACTGACACTCAGTTTTAAGGAATTAAGGATTTATCCTATAAGTTCCTCTTGACTATACTCCTAACTCTGGCAGCAGTTCGGTGTCTCTCTTTTACAGGAGGGCAGGAAAAGATGGTCTGCAGAACAGGTGGGCTTTTCTCTAGGCACAGTTTCAGGACTCCTCTTCATTTCCTACTCTTGCATAACAGGTTTCCCTGTTTCTAGCTGGAGCCATTTTGACCTCATTCACCTTGCAGCAAGGTCTACTGTGAGGGCCAGATGTTTTTTGAGGCTTGGTCTGATGCTAGTGACTGTATAGCATGTGCTGAAGCACTGCAAGAGCAGGAGGCAGGCTGTATGTCTGTAACCCACAGGCACAATGTTCCTCCTCCACTGGGGAGGACTGCATCTTTATACCTGTGAAAGAGAAGCAGCAAAAAGAAAATGCAGTAAATGGATACCCCTTAACTTGCTACCCCAGGCAATGGTAAATTCTCCTCACTCAGTGTCTGAGGACAGGCAGGCCCAAGGAGATCCTCATTCCTGCTAACTTCTGCTCTCCTGAGCTTGACCAGCACCATGGTGAAGGTACTAGAGCACAGGTAATGCTCTCAGTGAAGAGACAGCAACAGACCCAAGGCCTTATAGATGCTGCAATCTGCAGTGCTGAATCTTGCCTTCTATCACCATCCATTGCTAGATGGACTGAAACAATCACACCCTACCTTCACTGGGCTGTGTAGAAAACCTGAGCTGCCTGGTTGTCATCTTCTACTCACAGCTGCCTGAAGTTCCCAGTACCTCAGCATGGTAGAGGACACGAAGGACAGAGCTCCACAGTACTGCAGGCTTGCACTCAGAGTTCACATCAGTCAGTTCCACTTCACAGTTTGGCAATAAAATGGGTTTTCCTGTTTTAGAAACAGTTTCTGAGCTCACTTTAGCCTTCCTCCTCTGAAGGCTGCCTGTGTGAAGGCATTCCAGCTCTTTTCGTCTGAAGGGAAATCAGCCCCAGTGTCAGCAAGGCTGAAGACAAGAGCTCATTGTAACTCCATCCCCAGCTGTGAGGCCGTGCACAGAGCACAGCATGGCCCTTCTCCTTCAAAGAGACAGGGGGACATTGGTATGCTGAGTGGGGGACACTGCTCTGAACATCAGACTAGCGCCTGGGACAGGGACCAATGCACATTAGATGTGACAGAAACAAAGGTGCTCTGTTTTCTTATTGGCAGCTGATTGGCTGAGTAGGGGCACAAGAGGATCAGGTTTGGGATTGCTCACTAGGTATTAGCAGACCCTTCAGCCTTCCCCTGCATAATTGTGCTCGCTCACTTACTGTTCTGATTCTCCAGGGCCCACATCAGATGTCCGAAAGTCCTTCAACAAGTTCTCTTATGAGGATGTGTATCATGTTAACTCATTTTTCTCCAGGTTGAGCATTTAACCTTTCTCTGGCTTTCAGTTTGCTTTTGGCAAGGATCACATCTCACTAGGTCCCAAGATATTGTCAGCAGTCTCATGACATTTTCCAGACTGTTAGAGAAAATTATGCTCTGTCTAAATAGATGTCTGACAGGTCCACCTTGAAAAAAGTGCCTGAAGTGCAGTTATGGGGTAAAATGTTGAAGAATCACCTACTTTAATTAAAACAATTTACTAGAAGGACTGTTCCAAGATGTCTGAGTCTAAGAATGTTTGGTACAGCTAATGGAAAAGTAGAAATGTCAAAATCATTATTATGCAGGATCATGCAAAGTACTTGGGAAGATGGGCCAGAAGGGACAACCCTATGTAAGACAAATTGAACAAAATAGAAAAGGCAGTAAAACTGGTAGGCCAGGAACAGGCATGGTTTAAAAAAGAGGAAGCTGGATAGTAGATTATTTAAATTCTTTTGAGAAGGGAAATATGTGTCTCAAGACAAGCCATGGCAGTGCAGTGTGTGTATTTGTTCAGCAAGCAAGCAAGGTGGGGTGTTCAGAGGCAGCTTGACCTCACAATTTTGAGTGGGATGTTCAGGCTTAAGAAACTGAGGGGGCAGGAGAGTCTTTCCTTCTTTGTCCAAATCCATGAAATTTTGAGGAAAATCCCGTGAATGGTACCATAAAATGTGCTGAGTTGAACTAAACACTAGAGCATGCCTACAAACTTCTGCCCATGTCCAATGAAGTAGAAAATAGGCTAGCATTAATAATAGTTACAAGATTCAAGGTAGATAACTGTAAATGTCTGATTTTCAATAGTAGAACAGAACTCTTCTTTTCCCAGGGACTGCATGCATATTACAGAGATGGGTACAGTCAAGAGACACAAATATTGAGAATTAGGGAATGATATCATTTTTCTGGATGAAGTTGGTATCAGCAGAATCAGACAAGTTATCTGATCCCTTGCACCAAAACTCAAAGACTTGGAAAAGCCATCTTGTTAATTTAACATTTATGGATCTCACTTAGTTTGTCCTTTTCTTGTGAGTTCTTAGAATTGGGTTCTCCCACTTTTGTATGGCTTAATAATACATAAACAGCTCCTCTGTTCTTTCTGTAGTACGATCCAATATGTGGTGGTTATAAAATACGTGCACATGTGCATCTGACATCTGTCAAAACTTGGCCTGCATGCAAGCGGAGGGGCTGCGGGCTGGGCGGCGGGAGGAAACAGTGATGCAGGACCTCAAGCATTCTCGCCCCAAGACTTATTTCAGGGTAGCTAATTTAATTGTTTGTTGTTTAGGAAGACAGAACTCCTTTATTGGTAGAGGGACTTGTTGTTGTGAAGCATACACAAAGGAAATAACAGGGAACAGCTGGCAAAGAGCATTTCTCCAGCTCTGTGATGCTGCTTCTATCCTTGCTTGTTCTCCTGCTCTCCTTTCTTTGCTCTCCTCACATTTCCTTCCTCAGCTAGTACTTAGAATACTTTTTAGATCATCCTGTCATAACATTTACAAACATTAGTACTTCACACAAGTGCTTTTCTTAATCTGTAAAGTGAGATGAGAAAGAGACAAGGTGGCCAAAGTCATTCTGCAAACCTGGGGTACAACAAGATGTAAAACGTGAAATTAGGACAGAAACACCTCCAAAGTAACTCTACCTGGCCTGTATGACACTGGTGGAAACAATTCTCAAATATTACTTACTTGGCTGCCATTTGTGTACTGTAATGGGGAGGGAGGAGGGAGTTACCCTTTTCATAGCTGTTAGTGCCGAAATCCTCCTGCAGTTGGGCTGTTTTTCATTCCTAGAGCATAAGGCTACTTTATGAAAATCAGCAGGGAATTGTACATTTAACTGCTTGACAACAGGCACTGTCCTCATGCATCAGTGACCGATGCTTTGTTGTAGTATTGCTCAGGATAGGACCCTGTGGCTAAATACTGTATGTCCCAAATCTTGAATCTGAGGCAGGTTCACACATAAATTACTTCTTATCCTCATCTTCTGGAGTATTTAGTGATAAAGGCTGAAGACTATGAGCTGCTCTCTTCCAAGGAGATGGTTCTCCTTAGACCAGCTGCAGATTAGTGAGTGTAGCACTGGGCAGTAGACACCTCTGCCTCAAAATCAACACTGAATTATAGCACTAATGGCTGAATCCTGGCACTGCTTGGTCATGACCTTGATAAGTACCATTAAACATAGAGGGTTTAAGTGATTTTGCACATTGAAGAAGTCCACAGACGGTAAAGTAATAATGCCTGGCTGCTCAGGAAGAAGCAAGTGTCACCTGTTTCTTACATTAGTGACCAGTGAACTCTTGTGCAAATATTGCATACCTACCATCCTGGCAGCAGGTGAATATTTGTAGGCCCTGGGGGACTAATCTAGTATTATGCTGTGAAAGACAGCAAATGCACTATTTAAAACACAATTTTTAAAACACTAGGCATATCAGTCCTTAAGATAAAGGCTATTTATCTTCCTATAGAAGTGTCAGGTGCTTCTAAGAAACCTAAAATGTCTCTGAATAGAGCTTGTAACAGTTGCCTGCTGTAGGTCAGCCTATATTTTAAGATTTGGAGTAGCAAATATATTTTTAGACATTCGGAAATTTCAGTCATTCCTGGGGTCACCACTAATGATAAGATGGTAAAGTACTATGGACAGAAAGTTTTATCACTCATTCTCTAACAAATAGAATTAATTTGGTTTAAATAAAGGAAGCATATTAATGTACTCAGAGCATTAAGGAACATTTAAGAGTCTAATAACACTATTCTTAGTTTTCCCCTATTCCTACTTTTGGAACCTAAGCTTTGATGAACATAACATGCAGTATCATAAAATACGTTCAAAAGACAAATGGAGGGAGAAGCAGATTTCAGTTCTCTTACAACAAAATCTTGTGTTAATCATTACAGTAAGGACAAGCTGTCTTCTTGAGAGCAGACTCAGAACTCCAAAGCACTGACTCAGATGGATAAGTTTCTCTCATCTTCCATGCTGTGACTTATCAGATTACTCAACAAGCTCAGGATCCCTAATTCCACCGATACCTGTCTTTGTGTAATCTGTTATTTTTATAGTTCATTCCATTGGCCTTAAAATTATTTCACTTTGACATGCACCACAGTATTAAGTATCTGAGTGACACTTAACAGTATTAAGTGTCTGAGCACTTTGACCTAATTAATCACATACAGGCTCATATCTGGAAGATAAACAAGTCATTGGGGTGTACAAGGTAGAAGAAATACAGCTTTTTGAATTGCTGATTTACAAACATTAAATCCAGGCTTAAGTGCTTTTCTCCATCACAGCAACCAGAGCATTTGCATAGATTCCTACCCTATAAAAAAACCTAATTTAATACTTAAGACCAAGACTAGCTTTACTTTTGGGATAACTGCTTATCTGGTTGTAACAGGAAAGCAGTACTACAGGAACAGAAGAGAAGTGTAGGTGCTTAATGCAGTGGAAATATGGCACTACTTTAACTCTTAAGAACAGTGTATGGGTCCATGAAAAGACAGATTCATTATTAGTGGTTCATCAGAATCTCAAGTTAACTATAAACATTTAATTAAACTGGTTTATTTCAGATATTTGTACAGCTGCAAAGAAATTGTATTACGAAGAAATACATCTGGAAGTCTTGGCTTCAGCATCGTAGGAGGTTATGAAGAACATACTGGGAACAAACCATTCTTTATCAAATCCATTGTTGGGGGAACACCAGCATATAACGATGGCAGAATTAGGTAATGATTAATATCTAAAAAAAGTAGCATTTATGTAAGTTCTTCTGGTTAACCTGTGGGAGTTTTAAAAAACATGTTTTCATTAAGGCAGTGGCAGGGACAGGGGAAGGACTCACTGATATAGAAGTAACTCTGGGAGACAAGGAAACAGGACACAAGTATCCTGAAGTTTAACAGATCTGCTTTCATAGCAGAATGTTTTCAGATGTCTAGCAATCTACTAGTATGTGAGTAAGTTAAGTTAAAAGAAGAGTCAATTTGATCTCTGGGGTGGTACAAAGCATGCCAGCACAGACATTCTAAACACCCCAACCAAACACCTTCCCTGCAAACACCAGTACACTTGAGGAGAGTAAATGCACAATCATGGCACAAACTTACATCAATTAACAAGGCTTAAAAGGTACAGTTGTTCAGAACACAGATCATTCTAGTACCTAAAGAGGGCCTACAAGAAAGCTGGAAAGGGACTTTTTACAAGGGTATGCAGTGCTAGGACAAGGGACAATGGCTTTAAACTGAAATACAGTAGATTTAGACCAGATATTAAAAAGAAATTATTTAATATGAGGGTGGTGAGGCACTGGAACAGGTTGCCCAGAGTTGTGGATGCCTCCTCCTGATTCAGTGACAGGCTGGCTGGGTCTTTGGGCAACCTGGTCTAGTAGAAGGTGCCCCCGGCCAGAGCAAGGATTGGAACTGGATTATCTTTGAATTCCTTTCAACTGGAGCCCTTCTATGATTCTGTGATGATGAATTACCAGAATGGGTGTCAGAAGAACTATATCATGTTTTCTTTCAAATATGTTGAATTAATTATAAATTTGTAAGAAACCCAAACAAGTGAAATATTTTCACCTGCTTTATCCCCTTAGTCATGAACAGCAGTTAGCCAGAGAAGGAGCCATAATACTCATTTATACCCCTTCCCCCAGCTTAAGGATGTGCTTTGGCATTTGAAAACATTTAAGATTTAATTGTTGTCTTGCATTTATTTTTTCAGATGCGGTGACATCCTCCTTGCTGTCAATGGCAGGAACACATCAGGAATGATGCATGCCTGCTTGGCAAGGATGCTCAAAGAACTAAAAGGAAAAATTACTCTCACAATTGTGTCCTGGCCTGGCACATTTTTATAAAACAAGTCTTCATGGAGAGTGTGACAAGTATCTTAACATGGGGAAAACGTTTTAAAAAAAAGGAACACCAGTCTTTGCTTTTTTGGGGAGTAAAGTATGTATTTATAAAGAAAAGGTTTGTGAAATTTCAACCTGCATGTCAAGAAAAGTCAAGTTTAGGCAAAGCAGTGACACCTGTCAGAAAATCACTTCAGAGTGATCCAAGCTACAGACTTAAGTCCTTCCTTCCCTGTGTTCTTAAGGGTTTTTTGTTGTTTTTTTATACATACCTATATATCTATTTAATGCATTATAATAATAATAATGGAATTTAAGGAGCAGCAGCAGCTTCTGCTCACCCACTATATTTTGATTTACAAAAAGAAAACCTTGAATAACTAATGGAAATATTTCTTGCAATTTTTCTAGTTGCAATAATCAGGTGAAGGTTTTTATCCAACACATTAATAGCACTTTGATTATGTGTACCTTTTCATGGTAAGCATGAAGCTGGTATTTTCAAGACTTTCAAGTACTGTTTGTTAGTCTGTAAAACTGTGAATGAAATTTCTAAAATAATTAAAAATAATTGTAACTGTGTACTTGTACAGACATTATTTTCATCCAAAACCAAATTACCTCGTTTCCCTGGTTTGTTCTGATTAATTCTATTAAATCTGGGATTTTTATATAGACTATTACTTTTAAGGAAATACACTGCACCCTGCTAATGCCATCAAGTAAGTCTTTTGAATAGCAGTAAAATTTTTGTGGGACTGCCTTATCAATCATACTTGATACTGTTCTGCATGAAGTAAATCTGAAAGTGATGATGGTCCTATATGTCTTTTAAAATAGTCCTTTGTCTTTCTCTGCAAATTACTCATGTTCCACAGCCTTGTTTTTATCTCACAAGCCTACACTGGGAAGAGGATATGTTTGTTAATCTTTATCATGTTAAGGGCAGCTGTTCCCCTAGAACAAAGACTAAAATGAACTCTCTCTTAAGCCACTGAAAGGCAGCAGGGACGATTATCCAGCTTAATTCATCCTTATGCACCCACACAAACCAGACATAATTACCACGTGTATCATCACCATGCTCAGTGTTCCAGTCAACTAAGAACAATCGGCACCTTTCCCACTTTCCCTGTTTTTTTTTTTTTGCTTCACATTATTACAAGGCTTTTGAAGAGCCTGCAGTTCTTGTGTGTCCCTGTAGTAAGGGATGACCTTTCAAAATAAGTCTCCAAAAGCTATGCTAAACCCACACTGTTCCAGATGTTGGGTATATAATAAAATGAATGCACACTGTTTATAAAGTCAGTAAAAGAATGACCTTCCCGTTGGCTTATGAAAAAAGGAGACAATTTAATACAAAGAATTTAAGCCCTACTTATATTGTAAGAGCATAAGCCTCTAGATGTAAGATGTTTTCTCACTGTTTTACTGTTTCTTAAAAGACAAAGTCAGTCCAAGAATCTTAACATGAAAAATTTGTTCTTTTATTTTCAAAAAAAAAACCAAAGTAACCTTTGATTTCAAACTAACAGAACAAGATTAAGAGCAAATTATTATAATTCCCAGAAAAATAACAAGATTTATAGTAATCTATTTCTGGCACTAATATATATGCAAGTAGGCAAAAAAAATCACACAAGCCTATTCCACAGGGGCAGCTTCAGTGTTTTCCTGTTCAGGAGCAGGTTCACCACTGGCTTCTTTTCCTTCTTTGCTTCTTTTGGACTTCTTGTGTTTGTGCCTTCTGTGGCTATCCCCTTCTTCACTGTCGTGACGACGTCGGCTGTTACTAAATAGAGAGAAAACATGCCTCAAGCACTTGACACTTCAGGCCCTATTTCATTATAAAGTACCACAAAAACAGCTTCTGCATCTGATCCCAACTCAGAGTTTTTGGATGTCAGTGCAGAACTGAATTTTTCCTGGAATGGAACATCCATCTATCCATCCTGTAATTTTTGGGGGAAAAATAGAATGATTTTTCCCATTTGTAACCCATATTCTAATAGCAAGACTTTTAACAACATCATGCACCTATTGGCATTCCTTAAAAATTTGACATTCTTGTTGACCCCATTTTCTGGACTTAACTTTTATTTTTAACTTAAAATGGGTCAGGTAGAACAATTTCTCTCAAGTGACTGCGAGGATTAATTTACTTACTGAGAATGACTATTGAGTTGTTCTGTTCATGCTGCTGAATGTCAGCTTCATTCCACCCCTTTCTGACTCACCATTTTTACCCTTCTTTCCCCAGTGTCCTACTTTCTGTTCACTACTTTCTGTCACTCAACACGAGGTTACCCAGGGTCAGTATTGCTTCTTGTCTGTCCATGTTTCACACGGCAGACTTGTTCCAAGTAGCACATTCAAGTGTTTACAGTCTTTCCACAAAACTCCTGTTTGTTTGGGGTTATTTTAGAAGTTTACTTCTTTTTTTTTTTCTTTTTTTTTTTAACTGGACAAGTCTTTCATATCCTATTAAAAAAAGAGAAATCAAACCTTCGAGATGACTTGTGTCGAGTCTCTTCTTTCTCTCTGTGCCTCCTGTCTCTGTGTCTGTCTTCTTTCTCTCTGCTTGTCCTATGGCGGTCGTAGCCCCTCTCTGCATAGTCTCTGTATCTGTAGCGTTCTTCATCACTGATTCAGAAAGAAGAGATTTTCAGGACAGTAAGACCAAGGAGTATAACAATAACAAGCTAAATCAGGAAAAAATCTTAATATTGGAAAATCTTAATATTGCTTCTGGGTGTCTACATGAGTTCCAGTGCTTAAAGGACAATAAAGTTCTTAATATTATACACTAGACTTGTGTAGTTAATGCAGTTTTGAAAGGAAATTTTTCATTAAAAATGAAAGAAAAAAAGAATACAACAGTGCCCCATTAAGTTTATATAGGAGTTATCAAGCCGTTAGCTTGAACCTGTATCTAACTGTGAAGGAAATACAATCCTACATAAACGTCAGTAATTTTTTTGGATCAGTCTTTGAAACATTCAACACTTATCAGCACACTTTTGGACTATTATACAGTTTGGGTAAATTAAAATTAGATTTTGGTACAGTTATCTACTTCCTTACACTCACTTCAAGAAAAGGAAACACTAAGCACAAAGAGTAAAATATATTAAATGTTTGGGTTGCTTTTGAAATTAATTTTTCACTAGTGCTGTCTCTACTTCTCTCTAGGATTGCCATGAAATGCTGCCCTGCCACAATGTTGGTAAAAACCCGTAAATATCACAGGTTAGACAAGAATTCAAAGGCTTTACTTAAAAACATATTTTTGTATTTTGACTTGATGAAAAGGGCAGTTCTAAGAGTTTACTGAAATCTAAAAAAAAAAAAACCAAAAAACCAAGAAAACTCCAAAGTCCATTGTTAGCCAACACAACTCATATGGTACATTAGCATAGCTTAAAAAGGCATGATCATTTCATCATTTCTATAAGAAAATCCTACCCAGCATCACTTAAGAGTACAACTTCAATACAAATAACCTCAGTGTAATTATTTATACATCACATGAAGTCTTTAACCATAGTTTGGGAGATCCCCACCAAGTCCTAAAAAAAGGCACAATGTAACCAGTCTTTCTAAAGCAGTAAAATCAGTAACAATTTAGATACTGTTGACCTAAAGACAGGCAAGTGTTTCTGTCTCTGCCAACACACACCATGAAAGAAATTATCTTCCTGAGGTCCCTGCAGCAGCAGAAGGGATCAGACAGATCACATAGAGACAACAGCTCAAGCCTACTGAGATTTCTCATGTCCTGGAGCACTGAGAACTGAGATCAACCCCATTTTATCTGCCACAACTTGGATCCTCTTGCTATTTCCCAAGTGAGGACATAACATTAATGATTATTACAGCTATGCATGAAAACTCAGTGAGAAGGGGGAACACCTGAAGCAACAGCACTAGTCTTTTTATGAAAACTTGTATGATTACATCATTAAGCAAATGTCAGAAATTAGTAATTTAAGACACTGTAGAGAAACACTAGCCACTCAATAGAGAATTCTGCTTTTTTGAGGGACATGAAAAATAGTCACACATCAAAACAAAGAAAACTACAGCTACAACTACTGAACTCAAAATTATGATTTGCCACTGAGTAATACAACTTCACTGACTTTATAATGCATTTATAACCACAGATCGGAGAGTAATCTAATCGAATCATGAAAAGCACATTTGTGCTCAAATAGCACAAAAACTGAAGTCGGAAGGCATGACTGGAGGTCAGCAGGACCAAACCCCAGCTGAAGCAGGGCCAGCAGGACCAGCTGACCAGTACCATGTCCAGACAGCTTCAGGCTATCTCCATAGATGGAGACTCCTCAACCTCTCCGTGCAACTGCAGCTCCCTCCCATATCTCATATTGCTTCACAAAACTAATATTTTGATGATCAGAATCTAATTAAAAAGTTAAAATCTGAATGCCTACCACTAACTTCTGATAAGCTTCCCATGAGAAATAGGATGGCTACTTGTAGACTTACAGCCTGGTTTCAAAGAGATCCAAAGCCCTTAATGGTAACTCACACTCTGCATTTGTTCCATTACCCAGTTATTTTAAAACACTCTAGAAAAGGTTACAATTATTACTGACACTCCCTTTTAAACCTTATTTTGGCAAATTACTAAAGAACCATGACAGCTTGTAAGTGTGTCTGATGAAAATAAACAAATTCTCTAAGTAAAGCAAAAAATCAGTTTGCCAAGACCAGTGCAGTGGGAGCTTTCAGGAACACTCTAATGCTGCTCAATGCTTTTGACCTTTATTGCACACTGATCGTGGAGTCTTGTTCAGTTTGTTGACAACCAGGACACCAAATCCTGTAAAGCTGCAATCCAGCCAGGCAGACCCTCATCTGCTCTTCTCCATGAGATTATTAAGTTCCAGGACTTTAGAAACACAGTTGCTGGGGTTTTTCTGTTTTTTGTTTTTTTTTTAATTTTTCAAATTGCTGAGGAAGAACCACGATACAGTAACAGATCAATCAAATTCCAATGTCTACATTTTTAGTGGTAACTAATTGACTTGAAACTACCAAAATAAAAAACAAAACAAAAAACCCAAACAAACAAAGTCCCAACCTTTGCAGAAGGGAAACAGTCCAAAAATAATGGCATCTTCTCAAGGGGGCAGAGTGAGATGCACTGTAAAAATGCACACTTTTCTCTGAGGATAGCAGGGTAAAAGCAGAACAGAATATAAAGACAGCTGAAAGTTCATTTTTAAACCACATTTTGGTTATAATAGAATAAAAATAATCCTATTTTCCAATAATTTTAAGAAATGTTGTAACAAAACCACACACTATTTTTCTGGAAAATAACTGCTAAAAGTATTGAAAGCCGTAATTTCTGAGCAGTAAAATGATAAACCTGATGCTTACTACAAACTCCACCAAAATACCAGTTGATCAAAGTTTAAACAAAGGCAATATAAATAAAATGTATAAATCTGTGCAGTCTTTAAAATAGTTCACCTTCTCTTCCTCACAGTTCCATTAATTTTATTTTCATAAGTGCACAGAATTGAAAATAAACCTTCTTAAGAAATATTATATCTGCATGTTCTTTCTTAAGCCTCTCACACCTCTTCTGTGATTCCCAAACTAACTTATCCCAGTTAAGGGCCTCCCATTTTCTTATACAGCCATGTGGCAACAGCTTTGCTACAGATGGTGGATAATTTAGTCACATAAAAAAGTCGAGGCCTGCTCTTCCCCCTCCTTCACAGATAACTCTGGCAGCAGCACAGAGATTTCTTGAGGCCTGGAAGCTATTAAGGTTCATTTCAAGCACCCTTGAATGACCAGGGCTCTTTCTGGCCTTCAATCAAGCTGTCTGAGAAACAGATGTTTAGATAGGTCTTCAGCCCTCAGAAACTGACCCTGGAACGAAGCACATGCCCACAGGAGAGGACATCACCACACCAGCATACATGGAAAATCCCCCAGCCTGCACCCAGTTTGGGTCTTCAGCTGACAGTCATCATGCAAAAATGTCATCTCTCAACCGCAGAAATGTTGACTCTCAGTGCTCTCCCTTTGGCTTAAAACCATTAGTAAAAATGGTAAAAACAATCTGCCTAATAGCTAACATATACATTCTGCAAAAATTTAAACTTAACAATGAACACTGAGAAAAAAGCGTCAGACATTTACCCCAAAAAGCTTAGCAGATAACAAACAGAGGAAATTTAGAAAAATCTGGCTAACCAATAGACCTCTGTTCTATGGAGCCATAGTGAGCTCAGCATTAAATGCTTTGTGCTTGAGCACATGAACCACAGAACAGTTGCAGCTTTTTTAAAAAAGCAATTAGAAAGCTGAATAAATTTATCTGACATGACTTTCATCATCTAAATTAAAATTAAAGTTCTTGACCTTGAAATAATAGTTTTAAATAAGAGAGGAGAGATTATTATCCAGCCATTTTTAACAACCATATTAATAATTTTAGCAGGTATTTATTACCATTAATTAAGGTCAAATGTTGCAATACATTGCTCTTAGTACCAAACTGGCAACTAAAATTAATTTAGTACTTCTATATATTTTTCTGTAGATTTTTTCTAAACCTACTGATGTCAAAAAGAGATTAATATTTCAGATATTCTCAAGACTTAAATCACCTGTAACATGTAAAGCACTATCACCAATTTGGATGTATACTGTCCTTTTTTTCCTGCTTCTGTTTTACATGTGGAAATTTAGAATTAGGGTTTCCAAGAGAAAAGGGCGAAGGTGAGGAAGCCACACCACCCAGCTCTTTGGAGCATGCAGCAGAACACTAAAGTTGAATGTTGAAGTACCCTGCTTAAGAGAGACAAGGGTTTTGCACAGAGTTCCAGCACGCTGAGGACACTGCACTGACCTGTTGAACGCACTTGAAGACGGACTATGATCTCGGTCCCTCTCCCTGTCTCTGGTACGGTCCCGATCTCTATCTCGGTCCCGGTCCCGGTCGCGATCCCGATCTCGGGATCTCTCTCTCTCACGTTCCCTATCCTTCTCTCTTCGTGCATAGTAATCCCACTGTTTGCTGGTGTCCAAAAGACTGGACCACGAGGGTGCAGAACCTGCAGGGTGTGGAAAGGTGACTAAAGAAAGAGATGTAGTTATTAGAAAGAGTAAAATCAAATATCATATGGAAACTAATGCATGAAAACACATTTGTCAGTTTCCTCCAATTACATTTTTTAATCTTCCCCTTTCACTTAATGCTAAGCAAACACTGCATTTTTTCCATGATTATTACAAAAGCTTCTGGCACTCATTTAAATACTTCTTATGAGGATATACAAAGCCATACCCCAAAGACTGTCTAAACACTTTTGGGGGAAAAAAAAATTGTGCAAATACTTGCTCAAAGAATCTGATTCTATGTAGTCAAATGGCTTTATTTTTGGGGAACAACAAAACAAAAACAATTGGAAAACAAAACTGCCTTTGAAATTCAAGTGCTCTGAAAATATATTTCAGAAAAAGGACACTTCCAGCCTTGTAGTTAAATGCTATTATTTTTATCTCTTGTACTTTAAAATCATTGTATTTAAAATACAATGTTAGCTATGAAGTTGTCGTTCAGTAATTTATATTCTATACTATGCTTTGTCATACTTTTCTGATTATGGATGTAAAAGGAGCTTAAGAAATAAATTCACTCTGGGGAGAAGAAATAATGCTCCCACTGGTGCTCTGTAAGATAACATTTATGAATACTCAGCACAAACACTAATACCACTAAAATGTACAGTTTAAGAAAATCAAGCATAGTCTTAATCTAGAAGTGACATGTTAAGATGTTAAGAAGGAAGTCTTAACACTGTCTCCCAACCTTTTTTAGATAGCTAGCAATGGGGAGAAGGAATGCTTCTCCACTGCTTTTTGCCAACGTCAGTGTAATACAGAACTGCTGTATTTAATGCCCCAATTGTTCTGTCCTGCCCTCCCTCGCCAGAAGTCCCGTGAACGCACCCTGTAAAGGAAAAACAAGGGCTGAGTATTTAGCTGGAAACAGCACTCTCTAGTGGACTTACAGTACTGAGGACTTCTCCCTTTCTGCTTATCTGCCTTGCTAGCTTTCCTAACTTTCAATAAATCGTTTGTTTTGAGCTCCACTTCATCATCTATAACACGAGAACAATATTTACTTGACTTCATGGTGTCACAAAGAGATTAACAGTACAATTAACATAAATATCTACTGAACAATGTAAAATGTGTTACTGGTGCTGTATTTAATACTGTAGGGTTATAAAACCAGTGGCTTCTGCTGACAGCTAAGTTCAGACTGCCTTGCCTGTAATGTCTGGGTATGCCTGCCCCAGAAAGCTTTGGCAGAAGCTTAAGAGAGCAGTTTGCCAAGCGTCCAGAGGAGGAATACAAAAGACCTTTAGAGCAGGCAGCATAGCATGAAAAAAACACTTCATTGTTAAAATACATTTACAATTAAAAGTATTACAATTCCTTAAAAAAAACATTTATACAAGGTTTTGCCTCTAATAAAATGCTTGACACTGTTTAACTTCAGGTCTACAAGCAAAATGAAGGGTTAACAGATAAAAATGTCCTATTATAATATTATGCTGCTCATTATGCTGCCAAGACCTGAAATTCATTGAAGGAAAGCAGCCAGAAATAGCAAAAAAACCAGCTGGACTTAAAAGACTATTAATTTCCTTGACTTGCCACTATGTCAACAACACACGTATGGTACGAGACACTGGCTGTCAGTGTATTCTGATCTAAGGTTTAAACTTAAACTTGACTTTAAATGTATACTACAAACCAATTATTAATGGTAGTACAAACTTTTACAATAAATTTTGGGATACTCCATCACATCTTGAGTAATTCTCATCAGACAGAAGTATTTCTCCCCAGTAACATGAGATAAAAGACTTATTTGACACACTACACATTTTTATATCTAGATTTTCACCAGGAATTATTCACAACACACAAGAAGCTTACTTTCTAGTATGAACTGGTATTCTGCTTTTACTACATTGAATAAAATAATTTGTCACATCTGTTATTTCTACATGGATTATTCCAATAACTTCTACAAGAAGGAAGACATTTCAAAAACTCTGATTTTAACTCTGATTTTCTTTTTCAAACAGAAGGAGAGCTTTGAATAATTACTAGTTTTGGAGACATGAGCCCAGTTTTGGAGATACTTTAAAAACTTAAAGCTTCACGGCATAAAGCAAACTATTTAATACTTCTTGCTTGTGCCTCAAAAAATACTGACTCTTAAACTGTTTCTGTAATGCTAAATGTCTTGCAAGTCTAAGATTTAAAAAACATTTAGAGCACAGACCAGAGAACTACTTGAGGAAAAAGCAAACAAGCTTAAAAGGCACTTCCATGGCTGCTCAAAGGCAGCTCAAGCAAAGCCAAAGATATGATGGCGGACGTAGCACTGAATTGTGAAAGGATTTAAGTGCAAGTGGACTAAACCACATTGATATGGTGGAAGAGCACAAAAACAAAACAGACATTCTTGAAGTTATAAGTTATTACTTTACCATGTAACCTTCCTAAAGGGTCTGCAATGGGAAACCCAACTGACAGCAAGACATCAAATACATCAAAGCATGAGCTGAGGAATCTGGATAGGCAGAAGAAGGGCTAGCACCTTAATCAAGACTGCTACTTTTTGCAATGTGTTCCATTTGCACATCTTCCCCTGCAATTTTGACAAAGCTAGGAAATGCACAGACTGTCCAAGAAGACAACAGGTTGGAGATTCAGTGCTATCATCCAAAGCAACTATTAAATAAATATACCTAGTGATTGTAAATTGCAGTGATATCTGCACCCAGCTGCGCTGTGGAGCTTCAATGTCCCCAGGTTCTGATTCACAGAGAGCACTGCTAACACTGACCAGTGATCACACTGCACTACAGGGACTGTGACAGGATGATGCTGACTAGGAAAACATTTCTCACTAAGAGATAAGCAACAGTGATAAAATGCCACTGAGTCTCTACAGATTCAAAAATCCCTATGACACAGACAGCTTTGAGACAGATAATTGCTTTGTGCAGCAAATATGAAAGCTTTTGCTGCAACAGGGATACAAGACACACTGGAAGCACACTGGGAAGATAGCAGTGGACTGTGCTCCTTGGTCTCCATAATCATATAAAGGAAAACAATATTTTAATCCTGCTGATGAAGTTAAAATTCAGTGTTGGCGAAATCAAGGTAACAGTCATCCTTTAGGACTGGTGCTGCAACAACACATGCATGCCATCCATCTGCTCTAAAATAAAACTTGGAAATATTCTTATGTCCCTGACAATATCTGACAGAATAGAAAATTCTAACAAAAGAGACACCAAAGTGAAAAACACTCTACTCTGGAGACTATGTAATAGATGCCACATACATACATTAGTATGTGTTAGTAAGACTGCTTTCCTTATGATACTCTGTATGGCTTTAGTTGTACATCTCAGGTTTTACCTTTTTGCTAAAACACAATTAAATTACTGCTAAAAAATAAGTGTGTGTAAAGCCGATGTTTATGAATTCTTTTCCAAGAATTCTTGAAAACACAACAAGCTTAAAATGCATGAAAGCAAACATTTGGTAACTGATGAGGATCCTTACAATGTCAAAAGTACTGCTTGTTACTCCACGAACTGCTACAACTTCAGGAAATTGTGAGCCATTACAAAATGTCATTTTGTATATCCATGCTTAAAACTTCAGAATATTTGGGAAAGAGATTTGCTGAATATTTGATCTGTGCTGAACATCACAGATCCCAGAAACAGACAAAACTTCCCCTCCAATTTCTCCTCTCACCAGCTAGGGTTCAAGGGAACAAGGAGCAAGGCAACAGAATTTAGCTGAAAGAAAAGGCACCAGGCATGGGGCAGGATGGCAGATGTACTGAAGGCAGAGGCAGTGACTGTCAACATGCAAGGTCCTGCATTAGGGTGAGGGCAGTCCTCAATGTCAGTACAAACTGGCGATGAACTGATTCAAAGCAATCCTGCAGAGAAGGGCCTGGGGATACTGGTGGGCAAAAATTAAACTCACACGAGCCAGCAGTGTGAGTCTGCAGCCCAGGAAGCCACTTGTATCCTAGCTGCATCAAAAGGAGGAGTGGCCAGCAGGTTGGTGGGAGGTGGTTCTTTGTGTGCTCTCATGAGGTTCCACCTGGAGTATTGCATCCAGCTCTTGGGACCCCAGTACAACAAAGATACGTTATAGCAGGTCCAGAGGAGGGCCATGAAAAATTATCAGAGAGCTGAACATCTCTCCTGTGTTGTTCAGGTTGTTCATCCTGGAGGAGGAAAGGCTCTAGGCACACCTTATTGCAGCTTTTCAATACTGCAAAGGGACTTACAAGAAATAAAGATGGAGAGAGACCTTTGGCCAGGGCCTGTAGTGACAGGACAAGGGGCCAAGGTTTTACTCAGAGAAATGGAAGGTTTAGATTGGACATGAGAGAGACATTCTTTATGATGATGGTGGTGGGGCATGGGTTGCCCAGAGAAGTCGTGGATCCCCAACCATTAGAAAGAAGTGTTCAAGGCCAGGTTGGACAGGACTTTGAGCAAACTCATCTAGTGAAAGGTATTCTTGCCCATGGCAGGGAGGCTTGAGATAGATAATCTCTGATGATTTCTTCTAACCCAAATAATTTCATAATTCTATCTACTTTATCTTCTTATTTTCTCCTTTGAGTCAAGAAGCTAGGTAACAGCTCTAAACTCAGCATACATTCTGTGGATGCCCATTTGGTGGCACATGATGAAGCTTTCATTTTAGTTCACTCTTGTATCACTTTTATGGAAAAAAACATGAAGTCAAATCCAGCATCAGATTTTTCCTCCCAATAACAGTAATTTAAAAAAAAAAGACAGACTTTATAATAGTATAGCTGAAGGTTATAGTGTCTTGGACAAATGGTTTTTCAAACAAGATGTACATCATCATGATTTCTGAATGATTGCTCTTAGTAATTAAAATTCTGATGATATGTCAACAGTACTTGTTCTCCTGTTTTAAAGCCTTGAAAAATTCTCCCTGATTTGCAGTCCATATTATGGTATATAATGCTTCAAAATCACAGTTCTGCAAAAGCAGCAGGAAAAGATATCCAGTATATAAATTAATAAGCAAAACAATAGTATTTACCAATAGTACTTAAATTTGCAACAGCATGTATCTATTTACAATAGCCAGTAATGAGGTTTCATAATGAAATAGTGATAGGACCTGTTTAGTTGTCTAGCTAAAATCCTCATAAGTGTATCAAACAATTTGGTATCACACTGGTCAAAATTTCCAAAGCCAGCAAGCTTGCTTACTTACCACTGCCATATGAAAATGCACGAACAGGACGACCATCATAGCCAGAAGAATGCCCACTGTGGAATGTATGTGCAAAACCAGTTTCAGCATGTTAAAGATACATGTAAAACCTCAGCTTTAGCAACAAAGCTACCTCCTTCAATAAACAGCTACATACATATAATACATATATTATATACAATATATACAATCAGAAGCATCACTCATCCACAGCAACTGTCAGTACAAAGTAATAAATTTACTTAAATGCACATATGATGTATTAAGTTAGGATTTGTTCTCAATTAAATCATACAAAGATTTTCTCAGAGATTTTCCATCATCCTCCTGTATCACGTATTTTAACAGAATTTTCAACTTCAAAATAACAGATATGTGCATATAAATATGGTATTGAAAAATTCCCAGCCTAACAGGTTAGGCCTGTTACAACGGAACACTTAGAACAGAATATAAATACAAATTTGGATTCTGTGGAACTCTGGCATTTCTTATAGTTTAAGAGGGCCTAAATCTGTCCTCAAATTTTTGTGTAGCATCTATTAAAAAGGCTATGATAACTGAAAAGTATACAGATCACATAAACAAGCCTTCAGACTACTAAAGAATACTTTATTTATCATTCCCTTAGGTCTTGGCATTGATTTACTATCAAAACTGTAACTAATTTGGTATTTCGATACTGTGTCATAACTAAACTAATAAGTGGCTAAGTAACCTACTCAGAATATGCTGAGAGGTGAGACTAGCAACATTTCTGTGAAATTACTGCAAAAATCTGAAGCTGCCTCCCCTTTCCCAGATGTAAATCCATAAAACAATGGGCAATGCAAGAGTATTATTCATTTATTTCAGTTACAGAATACTGATAGATTGCTTAGTAAGGTTTCACAGAGATAATCACCTGTCTATTGTGGGTATGAGGGAAGGTGGAGGACCGCCAGGTGGTGGTGGAAAACCTGTAACAATAAATTAGATAAGGAGGGGAAAAAGTAAAAATCTATCACCCATAAACACATAAAAGAACTAGGCTAAGCATACCATGGCAAACAAATCCCAGAGAGAACAATGAAAAACTGTTTCCACATAAATGGGTTTTATTTTGTAAGACTAAGAACTACCTTTCAGCTTGACAAAGGCAAAATATGAACCATATATTATCAGTGCTTCAAGTTAAAACTTTATCATTCTTAAAAACACGGTGATATAAAAGCATGGGCAAATTCTAACAACACAATAATAAACAACAATCCAAACTATTTACTGCATAGCTGAGAAAAAAATACTTTAAAGAAAAGAAGGAAATATACATCTAGAAAACTGTCTGCTTAGGTCCACTAGTCAACAGTATTTTCATACAATTTCTCTCCTGCTCAGCATCAAAATAACTGAGCCTAAATATGCACATATAGTTTAGTATGCACAACTCTTTATCTGTAAAGTTGAACAAAGCTGGTAAGTTGCACATCAGTTAAGTTTTCATCTCTTAACCAAACGTGGAAAAAAAATCTAAGCAAATTTACCTGGTGGTGGCACTGTTATTGGTATACCTAAAAAGACAACAAATATCAGTTATAGTAATAGTTTCTTATCTGTAGATCTGAAACCAGACTGAACTTTCACTGCATACATGATCAAGAAGAATGTCAAAATATTTTCTGTGTCCTCAGGTCAAGATATCACATTAATACTGATAAAATTTTATACAAGCCTTGTGAAATCCAGCTTTTGGTTTAAATTCCTATTCTTTAAGATCTTATTTATTAAGAGGCAAAACCAGTGTAGAGTGACTCTGGGCCTCAAGGTTAAAATTAAATTAATAATTCTAAAAAGCTTAATATAGAGAAGGAAAGCAACATCCCATAGACTACATTTGCTTTGTTTTACATTCCATGGAAGGAAATGCAATTGGCCTCCGACCTTCAATAGATTGGCACAGGAAAGAGTAGGTCCACATGAACAAAGAATTCAGGCAGCAGTAAGCAATACAGATGTCTGAGTCAATGCTATGACACTGCAGTTCATCATTCATTTGCTACGTGGAGGGAAAAAGATTGGTTTTTTTCTCTATTTTCTTGTAGCTATCTGAGAAAGGAGTAGCCTTTAACAGAAACATGTGCAAGAATTACTCTAACCTGATTTTCAGATCTAGCTAAGCTGTTATGAACCTAACTAAAAGCTGAGAAAATTGTTTCCAACCAAATTAGCTGACTTAACAAAATAAACTGCATCAACACATAACCATACCTTACTGATTATGAAAGGAAGATTACAAGGTAAAAATAATTTGTAACTTTAAAGTTCTTATCTTCCCATGCTTTGCAAAGAACTAGCTTTACCTGAACTAAACACATTACACTGCTATATAATAAACTGGGCTAAAACAATACTGGCAGAAAATAGACTACTTCATCAGGTATAAAGCACTTTCAGTTATCAACAATTCTGCTTCCATTAAAAAGTATGTATTTCCAATCTAACAGCTCATGGCAAAACTTTGGGAAGGGAGTGAACAGAAAACTCTGGCAAGTGCTTTCATCAGCGTTGACATAACTGCATAAACATTCACATAGAATAGTACTGGCCACATGACAAAATTTACATATATCTCATTAGTTCAACATTAAAATTAAAAGATTATTGTATGGCAGCAACATTTTACTAAATCTATGTATTAATAATGTCTAGAAATGCCAACTGCTCCCAGACTGACTTGAAAGAAGGACAGAATGAAGGAATATGCAAGCAGAGGAACAGAGATCAATATCAAAGTTCACTAATTGTTGGCAATTTCTCTGACAGTAATTCCTAACAGCATTAATCCTATAGGATTAAACACATGGTGGAATATAATTGAGGCTTCTGTCCGATCTGGAAGATTTAAAATCAGATCTCTTAGCCAAAATGCAAATCAGCGAACTCCAACAGCCAAATTTCTGAACTACATGAGCCATTTTCTCTCCACCAGCATGCAAGCTTTCTAATGTGCACTACAGTTGTTAAGAACACTGGGTACCACACCACAAAATTTTTGACAGTGTAACATTTAAAAGACCAAACAGTCCTGATGAAAATTCCTGAAAGAAAGTCAAGATTAAGAACTCAAACTGTTGCCAAAGTGTTTACTATTAATCTTTTTGGTTAATTGTTCTAATTAATAGATCCTTCATAAGCCTAACACATAGAAAAAAAAATATATAATAAATAAATGTTAAGCATGTGCATATTAGATAATAAATAATAATATATAATTGCTATAAGAACATAAGCTAGAAAAATACCAGAAATTCTCTCAAAGTGACTTATTAGCTCCACCTTACACCACAAAAGATTTCAACTACTGCCCTAAAACCAGTATATTGTTAGCACTGCAAATAGCACTCAGCACTATCCAAAGAACTGCCTGGAAATCCATCAGCTAACTCCTCTCTACAAAAAGGAAAAAGTTTGTATTAAACAATTAATGTATTCCTCACTTACAAGAATGTTATCTTGTACAGAATTAAAAGTAAAAATATCACAAGACTAAAAGACAAATGAAAATTTTCGTTTAACAAGCATTCGAACAAAATTAAGACAGACTGAATTCACCTAATATCCAGAGACCAAATGTCCAAATAATTTTAATGAACTGGTGAATCTAGAGTATTACACAAAAAAACCCATAAGCATACTTTCCCACAAAAACCTTTAAGAACTCTTAAAGAACCATGATTAATGCTTATATAATTTTAAAACAGAAGGTATTTTACTCTATGGTATCAAAAAGGATGAAAGATTCTATGTGCCAAATTGACAAAAAATCTAAAAAAAGATCTAAATAAATGTTTTTCCTCACTAATACACAAATATGACACAAAACAAGAAAAACATCATAAGCTTCAGTTAACGGAAAAGAAATAATTTCTTAACTCTTCACTCCTTTGCCTTCTAAGTGCATGAATATATACCTGCAGTGTCACCAGCCAATTACTGCTTCTGAGAAAAGACACTGAAATATTTTGTTATTTCTTGCAATGAAGAGACTGCACTGTACAAATGCAACAATGTGGCTTAGTATCAACTTTGTCATGTCCCTACAACATCATTGTGCTGCCATAAAGACACATCCAGCATAAACCTAAATACTCAGAGTTGTGTGCCAAAAGCAACTCAAATGTCATCAGTGCACCATTTTACCTACCATGCTCAAAACTGCCTTCAGAACATTGTATACCATCCTACTAGCTCAGGGCAGGTAAGTATTTACAGAACATCAAGTATGTTTTACTAAAGGAAAGCAATGCCACATGTGCTCTGCTTGTGGAGCAAGGAATCAAACATGAACAACACAGCCAGAGTTTAACAACAGACTGTAAATTAGCCGAACTGTGCACCAGCCCTCAGAAATGTAATATATTTCAACTTAGTTCTCTTGCCATAGGCTAAATTAGGTCAAATTTTCTGTATCAAAAGATTAGAAGCACACACTTAGGAGGCCAAGCCTGAGCAGTCATACCAAAGCCTGGCACACATTGCAAAGTTATGCAACAGAAGTTAAGTATTTCAGAGAAATTTCTTTTTTCTTAAATCACAAATGCATGTCACGTTTTTAACTACAGACTAACCAATACACATAAACAAACTTTTAAAGCCTTGCTAACAAGCATACATATTCTGCTTTAGATGAAAATTACACCAACATAGCAATAAACCTAGCAAACAGAAACTAGCACATATTTTGCTATAGCCACTCATCTCCTAGGACTATTTGAGAATTTTCTACATTTGGTGCTCTAAATTGTTCCAGCACTTGCTCCTCAAAAAGATTTGAATCACAAGAGTGAATGAATACAGAACAAGAGACATAACTTCAAAGCAAGATCCTTTTTCAAAGGCGCTTTTGGAGGATGTTTTATATTTGGAATACTTAAATTTTCTGGCAAGTAGTCCCAGTTTAATATTGGGTAAGTGTAGTGTTTTTACTCCTACTCCAGTGAACCAAGGAGGGATGGTAGGACCTATTTTTGGAACAGCTTTGATGATAAAGAGCTGGCAACAGCACAATTAAAACACAGGTCTGAGGAAACTAAATCCACAGCTCTTAATCATTATTTTAGAATCTACTTGAAGTACTGAAGGATGTTCCAGAAGACCTTCTGAACAAGCCTGTGTCATAAACCCGCCTGTAAACCATGAGACTAAAGCCAAACCTGCTGGCTTGATCAGCAACACATGTGGACTTCTTTCACCTTTAAAATCTCTACAGGTGAGGGGTTTCATAAGAACAGCCCAGTACCTGTGACACCCCTGCACCAAGTGCATCTGTGTCTGTGAGAGGGGTTCTCATGTTTTTGATAATATACAACTTGGAACACCTTTTCTGAAACCAATAACAATTAAAATAATTACTTTCTAAAAAGTTGCAATGCATTACATATATTGTTTTATCATAAAGGTTTAAATGAAGCTTAAAACCACAGCAAGTATTATTGTCACATCCATCCCCTTTCTGTCCTTTCCCCTCCCCAGTGGGGAAACAAAATCACCAGAGCATTACCATAATCTCACTTCAGAGACTCTATTTTTTATATTTATTTTAAGAAAGAAAAAAAAGGGCAGAGAATTATTTCATTTTTAAATCTCTACTCCTCAGTTTTCTCTGTGCTGTGATTTTTGTGTATGACCATCATGGAGGAAAGCCAGAGCTTGCCAGGCAAAATGAGTTAAGTTTTAAAATTAGGAGGGGCAACTGAAGAAGCAACTTCTACAAGGATTTAAACCCTATAAAAGCTCATACTACTTGCATTTAAATAATGGGACTTCTTTGCTTCTACATAAGAATATTAACAGAGAAACTTTTAAAATATTTCCTCTGCAAATAGAATAGCAAAGAAACTGCCCCGCATGATTTTCAGAACAAGTCAAGCTAAAGAATTCAAGGACCAGGAGAAAATAAGGAAAAGTCTCTTCTGCAGACAAATGCTTTACTTTCCTACTCAAATACACCACAAAGATTCTCCATCTATTTTAATTTCTCACTAACAGTTCTTAGTATCTTGCCAAATCCTTTGGAACTTACTGTCTTCAAATGAGAAGTACAGGTCACTGTACCACTTGTGCAAATGCCCAGTAAATTTCCATATATGCCAAATTTCAATAAATGTTCAGTAAATATCAGTAAATTTCAAAACAGATTAACAATGGGATGAGTTCTCAAAGAGCTTTGAGAACAGACACAGAACACTGGAAAAAAACATCAGGGACTAATAAAACTTCTAAGTGGAAGAAGGGATATGGAGCAAATGCAATACTACCAGACCTGTGGGAATTTATACATGCTGTGAGAGAAAAGGGTAATTAGAACTTCCCTTGCTGCCTTGACCTTAGACATCAGAGAATCCAACTTGTGACACAAATTCATGGTATGCCATACTTCTAGTTCTAAATTTTGTAGAATAATGTGTTAACATGTACCTCTCAATGGCATTAACAGTTACTGAATTACAGAAAACAACTTCTCACTTCAAACATTTTCAAGAACACAAGAACCAGCAGTTAGTCTTAAGTAATTATTTACTACTTGGGATTATGCTTACTGAGAAAGTAAAAACAAAAGTTTCTGGGTTTGCTTTGCAGATACACTTAAGAAAAGAGCAAACATGAAATTCTGAAATTCTGCACAATGCACCTCAAGAATTTGATGTTAACAAATCTCTCATTATCCACATCCTATATAGTGCAGGATATTTACCTGGTGGGGGAATCAGAGGTGGAGCAGTACTGACAGTTGGAGGGGGTGGGAGGAAAGGAGGTGGTGGAAGGTGAGTAGGTGGAGCTCCTGGAGGGAAAAATGGAGGTGGCTTGGTAAAACTGTCTACTTCAGGATTAGAGCGTTCTGAAAGAACCTGTAAAATATCAAACTCTAGTTACAATTGCTTTGTGAAAAGAGTGCAAGACAGGTTTCCTGTCCTTCAGTTACTAAAATAGGAAAGTATCATTTCACATCTAAAGACCCATATTCAGATGGCATTAAGTTCTACCTGCATACACCTACGTTCAGTGTCCCTTATTTGCCAAGTACCTTTAAAGGTCTAAGAGCACCTTAAATTTGTATAACGGAAAATATTTAAAAATCAATCTGAAAAGCATGAAAACAACCCAAGATCATAAATTACTTAAATACTCTGAGGTCAGATGAAAAACACATGGTAATGTTTTCAATATCAGCACTACAATCCTTTACTATTTTCACTGTTTAACCTCAACCTAAGTTGGCATGGAAATGCAACTGGAGCACCAAGCAACCCTGATCCTTCTCTCTAATTCTTCAGAAGTGTATTTTGTCTGTATAGATTTAGTTGCTTTCTGAGGATAATAAAAGTCTAGACTAAAACCATAAAGACTAATCTTGCAATTTTTGGTAAAGTACTACAATATAATTAAAAACAATCTACTACCAACTATTTATTCCTTCACACCTTATTTTTAAAAGACTGCATTTCTCAAACTGCATACAAGGAGGCTTTCACTTCCAGCATTAGTGTCTGACAGGAATAGGGGGACAAATGGGGAGTTCAAATATTTATCTTTTCACTCCATAAACAAAATACAATCCCACACAGATCTAGCAGAGCCAGTGCCGTCTCCTGGATTGTAAGTCTGCAATATCACTCATTTCTTTTCAGTAAGAGGTATACCAAAACATTTTTGAACTCTATCAATTACTTCATCTTAATATATTTTGGTAACTGCCAAAACTTTATTTCTGGATGCAAAGTTACTTATGTGTTACTCATTCACATACAGTGGTGCTTTAGTCAGAAGCTATGGGGAAAGCAAAAATGTCTTTTAGTCAAAAAACAGAATGCAAAACTGCAATGTAAAACCTGTATGTTGCTGTTCTCATTAGCACGCCGTCGTCCTTCCACCCTGCTGATAGTGATGCTCTGTCCAATCACATCTATTGTGCCAGATATCCGCCTGCAACACAGGACAAACAGAATTAGAAAAGGGGGAAGAAAAATGTGAGAGAAAAAAGCCTTATGGACTTCTCTCATTCTAAATGGCAAAAGTTCTTCTTTCTTTTGTAGAAAACACAAAAGACTATTTCTGAAGAAACATTAAAGGTGATGTATTTGCTGAACTATGTACAGAACTAAACAATGCAGCAAAAAAGACTTTGATAAGCAAAGACAAAAGCTGACTCTACAGCAGTCTCCTTCCCCCCCATAAAAGACAGTACTTCTGCTTTGCTGTTACAAGGAAAATCCCAAACAAAGATCACAAAACTTCAGTAAGAAAAGAATAAATCAAGCAGAACTTTCTCAAAAATCTAACATAAACCAGCTACAAACTATTAATTAGAAGTAATTTCTAAATTGCATGAAACCATAATGAAGGATTCCATGGAAGATCAAAGAAAGATAAGGCAGAAGAAAAAACATTAGCATAAACCAAAACCACGAAAATTCGAAGTATAATCAATCTCTCAAAATCTTCAGTAAATTAACCTTAGAGGAATACACTAACACAAATGAAGTACTCCAGGTATTAGACCAGACAATATGACAAAATACGACAAAATATGAATGTCATCTAGTAAAACTAAAGCCTGATGTTTGTGACAACTATTTTGAATCACTATTTTGAATCACTGTTTTGAAGAGAGTAACAATGCAAAGTATAGTGACCATTTCTGTTTGCAGCCCTAAAATGCCAGAAACCAAGGTTTATAGAAATTGTATAATTTTCATGCAGATATAACAAAATCTGTCAGCATAAGAGTTATAAAAACCAGGTTGGACTAAGGCCTTGAGCAACCTGGTCTAGGGGGAGATGTCCCTGCACATGGCAGGGGAGGTTGAGCTAAATGATCCTTTAGGTCCATTCCAACCCCTTAACATTCTATGATTCTACCTGCTCTGCAGGCCACTGTTGACTTCTAAAAGAGGTTAAAAAGTAGGATTCACCTGGGTCAACTTTGTTAGAAAATGAGCAATAAACAACAGTGCTCATGGCTGAGAGAAACAAAGGTATAAAATCCATGTCTCAGCTGTAGGATTTTTCAGATTTTCATTTGTGGTTTCACCTATAAGGGAAACCACTGTAGATAAAACTGATAATTTTTACCAAGAGCATGATACAGAACAGTAAAAGACTGGAAAAAACCCTCCTGAAATTTCCACAGAAAACAAATCCATAGAAAGAAAAAAATATTTCTAGTTTCAGGAGTTCTTGTCTTTTTTGCATCTAGTGTACTACTAACCACACAAATACAAATATTAGGGAGAACAACTGTAAATTGGAATTATAGGCTCAGAGTTCTGCCAGACTGATAACTTGGACTCCAATTGCTCAGATACCCAGACTGCAATGCAACTGAAAAAGACACAGCAGACACTCGAGCATGAAGTAACAGTCAGATCTCTCAGAGATTATCTGAAGTTTCATAGCAGATTGCATACTGAGGATGATACAAATGCCTGTCCTCTGAGCTTTTTAGTATCTGGGTTTAGAGTTCCCTCCTAGATGTTAAAGTAAGCTTATTAAGCACAACAGTTGAGAGTTTAAAAAAAACCAAACAAAACCAGTGTGATGGTACAAGAGTCCGAGAACATACCTTCAATTAAAGAGTGTATACGCCACAGCAATATATTCTATACAACAATAACAGAAGTGTCAGAAACTCTCTGGACTTATGATACCCCATGCTAGAAGTTAGATTGTTCCAATAATCAACATCTGCTTTTCTAAACTTCCCCAGTGGTCTTGCATGGCCTTCCAGCACTGCTACACTGGATTATTATTTTGCTGTAACTGAATTGAGAACATAGGTATTATAAAACAGTCGTTAAAACCTATGTTCTCACCATCTTAGTCTTCACTGACAGTGCATTTGTTTTGAGAGTTCTAAGACACTTGTTTTCTTCCATCACTGCTATCCTCTCTTAATTATCTAAACCATATCCTAGAAAACTCATTTTACCTAGCTTCAGTCCTTGTGTATAACAAATGACACTCATACAGCACCAAGTCCCTGCCTGATCTACAGGGCTTCCACTGGGAGTGATGTACACAGCAGAATTAAGACTCTTCCTCTTTTGTCCTGTTTGCACACTGGCAGCAACTCTTAGAATCAGCACTGAAAACATACACAATGTCACCAATGCAAGAGTATGGGGCATTAAAGCAATATATGCCTCAATCATATTACAATAATGTTAATTCTGGTTTGGGAAGCAGCCCAAACACACCACTGCAATATCAAATGAAGCAAACCCAGACTACCAATTAGTTGGTTCCTATGCATCAATTTTCCTGGAGTAAACAGTTTCATTTAATTTTTTTAGATTCTGAAGCATATACCTGTGTTCACTCAATCTCAATGAGATTATACTTTATATTTATTATTTAAATAATGCTGTATAATGTTTTGTCCACTGTTCTTCCCAACAACTGCCATGATATTTTTCATAATGATGGATTTTGTCATCATACCTTGAACTTGACAAATTCTCTATTTCCAAGATTGCAATAACAATTTCATTGAGAATTTCACTAAAAGAGTTTGAAATTGAACAGGAGAAAGCATAGATTCAGTTGCAAACGAAGCAGCAGATGACACCTCCAACCACATGCTAAGTGACACACACAATAAGTCACAGCAAGATGGCACAAGGAGAAATTTCTACAACTCCCTAGACATTGAACAGAGTTGTGATAAGTAGCAGGCAAGACTCAGTTTCTGTCTCAGTGCTATAAGCAAAGAAAGGGAAGGGCTTGGTCTGTCCCTTACGTGATCGAGGCACCTGGGATACAGATGCATTCCCAAAGGATCCTCTGAAACATAAAAAGGCAAGCCACACGTGTGGGATGCACATGAACCCACAGCAGAGTTCATACAAAGTGTAGCTTGAAAGGAACATTCCAGCAACTCTGAGTTATCTCACTCTAATTAGAGAATGGTTATTTATGAGCTATTTGCACTGAGAATACCACTTCCATGGAGATTAATTCAGAAAGATAACTCAATCTCATTTGGCAAGCTCAGCTTAGATTCTACAGAGCAAAGAGAAAGAGAGGGAAAAAAGAAGAAAAAAAGAAGGCAAACCCAGTTATTTTCCAAGTTCATACCTTCAAAAATCCCTATCCTTACCACAGATAAAATAAATAAGCTGCTTTTTGGAACACCCCCATATGACTGTTCAGAATCAGACTAACTACAGGATGCCACATTTGTTCAGTAGACTTTATACATAGTATAGTCTAATATGTATGGAATTATAATATGCTTCAATATTTCTTCTCTTCTTTCTTGTTTTGCTTATGTATTTCATGGTTTATTTTCCTCCTCTTGAGGACAGCCTCAACTTTGCTGAGCTCACCACTTACTGATATGAATAAGAACCTAATAGATTTACTAAAGAAACCATTTGTATGAAAACACACTTTTTTTCAAAATAACACCTGAGTTTCCATCACTTAGTCTTGCAAGGCTGAACTGGTATTTTTCATGGAAATAAAAGATCAAAAATCCATTTTCTTCAAAATATCTGTTTACAGAAAGCCATAAGCACAGATAAAGCTGATAAATATCCCACTACACTGATGAGCTAATTTCTCTGCAACTTCTCTGAAAATGCTTCCAGCAATTTCTCAACAAAGCTATTGCAAATGCCACACGGCATAAAGGCAATTATTTTAAATTACTGAAGGGGCTACATTGCTGAAAATTTTTTTCTATCTAAAATAAACTCTTAACTAAAGAAAGAAATTAGTCCAACCCCATAAAACACTATCTGGTTATACAGAAGTTAATAATACAGGCACTTAAAAGCAGAAAATAGTAGATGCATTATGGATAAGTCATTTAAGTAGAAATATATATAATCCACACAGCTAATACATATTCTCATATACTCAATATATATTCTCATTAACCTACTCAGACTTCTGAGCATACAGTTTTCCTTCAAAATCTCTTCTGACCACTTGCTAGAAATACCTTTCTTTACAGAATAATATATTTTAAGCAAGTGTATCCATAGCAGGTATTGTCATTGTAACAACTTACAATTACAGTATTCACACTAAATACATACAACACAACCTATTCTACCAATGGAATGCACAAGTGATACAACTGTCAAAGTGATATGCCACAAAGTGATACCTCAAAATAAATGTCAGGAAGTGACACAGTCATCACACCTGCAAATTTCACACAACCAAATAATCTACACAATGCATTTTTTCTACAACTTTCAACTTAACTACATTTTAATATCCTGGTTGTCAATTACTTCCCAAAGTAGTTTAGAGATTTTCTGTCCACCACTGAGATGAACAAAGAATTGAAACCTTGTAACAAAACCTATGCTAGATATAGATTTGGAATCCTTACCCTGTGAACAATACATTCCAGTCTGAGAACTCTGTTACAAGAATATCATATATTAGAAGCAATTCAGAAAAGAACATTTTAAAAATAGCTACAAAGTTAGCACAAAGTTTGGAAAACTAATTTCTTTTGACTAAGAAAAACAGATAAACAGAACTAAAATCTACTAAACCAGAGCAGCATAACCTGATAGCTCAGAGAAAAATTTAGGCTACCAGAAGGAATATTCTAGAAGTGAAAGAAAAGTGCAAGCAAGGCTATGATTGACTTCCTCCTGCCCCCCACCCCCCAACTCTCCCCTCCAAGACAAATACATTTGGGTGTTGAACTGACTCTTACAGCATGGAATAACTGAACACAAGTGCCTCTAAATCAGTCACTTATGGATGCAGTGCTAAAGATGGGTCATAGCTCCTCATCTTTAATGGCTGACAACCAAAGTGTCCAATGAACAACCTGTTCTACCTTTCTTACCATTGTTTGTAATATGATGTAATATAAGGGCTTTTAATTTGCACAGAACTAAAACAACTAAACAGGATCACTACATAACTCAAGTAAAGCAGAAGCATGGAGTCATCCTAAGCCAAGTGCCAGATAACAAACAGCACTTGGTTTAGAGATTTTCTAAATAATATTTTCAGTGGCTTAGATACAGAAGACAGAACTCATTAAAGCCTGGGGCTGGGAGAAGGAACTCAGTAAGCAAATACTTTCTCTAATTTTCGAAGAAAGTACAATAAAATATTCAAATATGGAGAAACCAAAGCTGCCTTGCAGGAAAGAGACTAGGTTCCAGGAATTCCTCCACTTGTTAAAGTCATAGCTGTCAGATTCCATCTTGTTGAACTGAAAAAATAAGTTAGTTAAAATATTCATAAGGACCCTAACCAGAAGTATTATGATGGCAAATTTAATTACACACAGAGAACACAGTGTCATAAATCAATAAGTAGATTTTTGTAACTGTCTTGTTACTTGGTCCTGCTGTTTTTTCTCACCTTTTCTTCTACTTTCTCCCAAAGAGCCAAGAAGGTAGTATAGGATTCCTGTATGATTATGGTAAATGTGATAAGGATATCTCTACCCTTCATTTTACCTGTTACAGAAACATATTTTCCTTTTTTTTCTACAAAAATTGTAAACTTCAAAGACATAGAGGTAACAGTGCAAAGAGTTTTTTGGTCATGAGTTACAGCTAACTGACCTGTTTGTTGGAATTCCTGATTTAAATAAGGCAGGAGGAGATGTGAAATCAGGTTTGGTCGACTGCACTGCCAACTCTTTCTCCAAATTTCCAGTTCTGCCTTGCTGTACCTTCAAAATAATGTTTCATCATTAGTTTAACCTTTCAAGTGCAGTAGCTCCAACATTCAACAAAAACACAGTCAATAGCAAAAGAAAGTAAGCCCAATTATTAATTCAGAATTTCAAAAACTCTCACCTCTGCACAACTAGCAAAATTATGTATCTTTTAGTGAGATATTACTTAAGTACTATGTTTGATATATATATATATATATAAATCAATATGCCAGAGAATGAATTGCTATAGAAGATTAGACAGCATATTTATTTTCCAAGCACTTCATTTGTACGTGAACAGACCAAACTAATTTTCCTGAAGCATTTCCTGTATGAACCAAATTACACCTTGATTTTTAAAAGAAAGACACTTATTGAAAAAAAACTTTTCATAATCATAACAAAGATATCTAACAAGCCTGCTATCCACTACCAGCAAACCATGAGACAAGAAACTTGAATGGATTCTCCATCTCCCTCACTGATTGTGAGATCTAGTAACCACTTAATTTCTTAGTCATACCAGGAAGTCATCTCATACTCTGGGTTGTGCTAACTGTGAAAGACTTTTCATTAGTTCAGACTGAATACTTCAGAAACACCCTGCTGTTGCTGAAGTACTGCAAAATTCCAGACACTTCTTTTATTCAAGACACCATTAAAGCTATACAAAACCTTTGGTGCAAGTACATCAAGTATTGTTTTGTTCAGCAGCAGCTACGAGTGAAAGAAAAACCTGTATGGGTTAGTATTAAAGACAAATATACAGTGATTCAGTTTTTAAAGTCCCTCCCACTGTACCAGCTACACCACTCTATGTAGCTAGTTCACTCATGCTATAACCTTGTATAAGCTGTGATCTCACAGCTTGTAGGCAAGTGAACTATTATGTTTCTGCAAAGCCTCACTTCTAAACATGGGCACATCTTTTCCAAACCCATAAAAATGTGCATAAATAGTTAAAATTCATTAAAAATTGAATTAATGTTTCCTATCCAGAAATATGAGTGGAAAAGGTCAAAGTATTTATCTGAAAAAGACTTCTACAAATTAATGAGCAATTGGAAAATGTAGGAGACATTCTTGCTAGTTACAGGAGATTAATATAAATTGCAAGGAAATATAATGGGAATTACAAGAGACTGTTTCAGAAGAGAAGGAAAAAAGTTAATGAAATGAATAATTACACGTAAACTCCTTTTAAAACACGACAAACTCTTACAACAACATTATTACCAGTACTGTTTGATCACCAGAGTCAGTACTGAGCTGGAAATAGGGGAAGATTTGGGTTGGACTACTTATCCTTTTTCCTTCAGAACACTTCAGAAAAGTTTGAGATTACAGTCAGTTGCAAATTGTAACTCCTACTGTCCACTATTTCTACTGTCCCACAGTACGATTATAATGATACCTGAGAAACATATAAAGCCCCAGAAACCTTCTGATCCATTCTTGCTAGAATAAAATCAAAATAATTTAATATCCTCAAGTAGCAAGTAAAACACCTGTTTGCAACTGACAGTTCTGTATCTGCAATTGACAGGAGTACACAGGAGAAAGAAACCGTTCCAAGTCACTTCAAAGACAGTTCAAGAACAAAAATGACTATATATTAAGAATAGGTAAAATAAATAACCTTTGTGGTATAATTTTAAGTTTAGTATCAAAGATGTAAATGAGAAACTGAGAAAATAAAAATAAAGTTCAATCCTTAAGATAAATGCTGTCATGTTGTTCTATTCTCTGAAAACCAGGATTTCTGAATGGAAAAATTATTATACATAAGTCAATTAATTGTTAGCTAACCCCAGAAGAGCAACACAAAAATATGGAAGATTGATTTTCTTATCAGAGCTGTCAAGGATAATTGTTACAAACATTGTAGTAAGAGCTACAATGCCACAGGAAAAACAAACATGCCATAATCTACAAAAGCTTCCCCACCACATCTGCACAAATCCTTTAATCTGCACAAATGAACACACTACAACTAAAAATAAACCATCACATCAAGAAAAATTAATTTCACTGGGAAATTAGTTAGTTCACCAGGCCACTAACTCACATGCTTGCAGAAGAGTGATGAACAAAGCAACACTTTTTAATCCACATTTTGGGACATACACAGAAAGTCACTGATGTAGCATGAGAATATGAAATAATGGCTGCGTCCATATCAGTTGTTCTTCTATCAGTCTGTGCTGGCATGGGAAGCAATACCCAAGAAAAATGAGAGCAACCAACAAAATTTTACTAAAATTCACCTTTAAAAGATGGTATCTGCCATCGAGAATCTCTGCACTTGGTCTTAGTTCCATAGCTTTGTCTTCAGCCTAAGTTAAATAACACATTGCCCATTAAGATACCATACAATTCTGAAATGATGGGCCAGTCTCAATAAAGGTACAGATGCAATCTAGCTGTAGCTGTCTGTCACACTATCCACACAAACTGCCAGTAAAGCAACACAGTAACACTCTAGGTTCAGGGAAGGGAGTCAGGCGCAAACTCTAACAAATCTACTGAACTGGGCAGAACAAGCTTATGACTCACAAGCAGCTTTACAGGGAGAAAAACATGTACAATACAAAAAAATCACTATTTACCGTGATTTTATTTGTGGTTGAAGTAACTGGCAAAATTTCAAGACCCATTCGTATTCTCTTTTGTTTTTCACAGTAAGCTTTCCAGGTATCTTCATTGAAGCCATAGTTAAAATAATCTGAGAGATCAGCCCCTTTAAGCAGAAAAGCATAGGTCTTTTAGGACATTACAAAGTTCATCCTTCCTCCACTAAACATATATACACACCTCTACTTAGAGCATCAAAACTGATCAGGTACTCATTGCTAAGATTGTAAACCCATTAAAATTTAGTCAGAAACACGAACTTGCCTAGCATCATGAAGTGGGGACCAAGGGTAGAGAATATCATGGGATATTATAATCTCCCACATCTTTACAACAAGATAAATATAAGATCTATAGATTTCCTTTATGTTCAGTGAAGAACCACTTCCTTTTGTTTTGCTAGTTCTGTATTTGACTTCTCACTTTGCTTTGGCTCCTAGTTTCATGTGATGCCATGAAGTATTTTTAGGGTAAGAGAGAACAGTTGTAACTCAAATGTATAGAATATATTTAATACAGCTAACATTTCAAACACCAGATAATCATCAAAGGCTTCTCTATTTTCCATTTTGCAGACACTATTTGTACTACCATAGCAATGCACAAACACAAGAAAAAAACTATATGCAGCAGCAAGATGTACTGGTACTAAAAAACCTAATCAACACTGGTAAAATTAGACAAGCCTGGACAAACCACTTGAGCCAATGAGACAAAACAGAGGAGACTCATGGAAAGTCTTTGCAGCAAGTCCCAGTTTCTTATTCTAAGCTTATGGATGTCTATGCATGAACACAACATAGCACAGGAAGTTACATTTCACCATTCTTCATGCTAAAACCAGCCAGAACTATTTTGCACATTTTGCTTTGTCTAGTGTTCCATGGCACAGAGCAATGGCAGAAATCTCCACAGGAACACAGATTTCCAAGGAGAGCTCAGGATACACATGTATTTAAAAAATGGCCTATCTCTCCTGACATGTGATGGAGATGTATACTAACAAACATGGCACACCCATGCACTCTGTGGCACAGCAGGAAGGCAACAAGTAACATAGTTGCTTTTTCCAAATTATGCTGTACAGTACCTCTGAGGGATAGGTAAGATGACAACTACATGCACTCAACAGAAACAACTATTAAAATAACCTACTGAACACCTATGTATCAGTGAACATAAACCAGACATTACCTGGCTTTCTCCAAGGTTTATCTTCAAAGGAATCTAAATCTACTTCCAGAAGTGGCACACCATTAATACTCCCTGGTGCATCTAGATCCAGTCCCTTAACTTTTGCACCTGTGAAGAAAAGTTAGTTAGAGCCTTCTGTCTCTACCAAATGGAATTTTATCAGTACCATTACACTTAGAATAATAACAAATAAATTAAAAGCTAGAAAAAATTATCAATAAGTTTTAAAAGAAACAATTATTTTCTTAATCCAAAAGAATATCCAATATGTTTTGGTTTTTTTTACTAATATTACTGAGCAAATTTTCTTACCAGAAGATCCATAAGCTCGTCCTCCTGCCTTAATATTGAGATTCACAGGTGCTGCTCCATAACTTCAAGAAATTAACAAAAACCGGAATTAGACAAAGAAAAGTTTTAAACCAGAAGAAAACACAAAACAAGAGATAGCTAGATCCAGAAACATATTGGACCCAGGCTCAATCACCATCCTGAATCTCTAGCTTTCCAAGCCGGTAACTGTAAAGGTAAAGAGATCAGCCTAGGAGGAAGAGAGAGTACCTTTCTATGCTCAGTAGCAACTTCTCCAACTAATAAACAGTAGTGAAGCAAGTTCCAGTCACTCTTCCTGAGTTGAAAGGATAAAGACCTTGATAGAAACAAGAATGGACAGAACCAGAAGAAGAGAGAGAAAGGAAAAATGCAGTTCATTTAGGGATACAGATGACAGTCTGGGGATTAGAGTAAAAACAAAATAAATTAAAAAAAAGGAAGGGTTTAGATGGATCATTTTATCTTTTCATAATCATTCCATTTAATCTGTACAGAAGTGAAAAATACAAGCATTTCTCTAAAATGACTGAAGTGCTGTTTCAATGTACTTCTAGTAATCATCTATCCTTGTAAACAACAGAAAAGTATGCAATTTTTCACTTTCTAAAATACTTGAGATCTTTCTTCAAAAAAAACTTGGAAACCTAACTACTGAATAGATCTAACTACCTTAGGAATCACAGTATTGTTCATTTGTAACATTAAGAGCTAGCTCTCCCTACCATTTGTGTGTAATGTAACTTATCCTCACAGGTGACCCATATACATCATGAGATTTGCATATAATTAGAAGGTCAGGGTATGGTTTACAGTATCCACTTCCATGCAGTGCTAGTTTTCTTTCAAGTGCTACAACAGCATAAAAACCAACACAAAACATTTTAACCTTCTGATCTGCCACACTGTATTTGTGCATGATTTTCTGAAACAAATCTCTTAGGATTTTTAAACTGCAGTTGACTACTATATGGAAAACTGTTTAATCCTATAAAACAGACTTGTTCTACTGCAGTTGAAATGTACAATGTTCCATTAGTTTTAGATTTCTGCTCTTCTGTGAACTTTGTGTCTAATTCACCCAGAAAAGAAGATTTTTCAGAAGACAGGCATTTCTATGTAAAACTTTCTGCTCTAATTAGACTTAGGATCACCTGCTCATTGTTCCTGCATACATGGAAAGAGCATCAGCAAATCACTGAGAATATAAATCTAGTTTTGCTTTAGTACCACAAAGCTGGAAGCCACTGCCTAGACCACAAGAACACTGCAAGTTACTGAAAGCAGAAAAATAAAGAACTGAAAGAATTGGCGCTTCTTCTATTACATTCATTTGCACATTATTTTAGAACATGAAACACTGAAAGTTTAAAAAAACTATGTTTCAAACAGGAGTATACCACCTTCATTCTAAAGTTAAAAACACGATACACATGAGTCAGACCCACCTGCAGACCTGTCATAATTTAAGAAATGGCACCCTAGCAACTCTGGTTTTAATAGGCATAAAAATATTGGCATTGCCAAGAAAAACAAGCAAACCATGTCCCTCAGCAAATTTCCATTCAATGAAAAATATTATTTCATAATTTTGGGTAAAATTAGCACTGTACGAAAGTGTTCAGTAAAAATAAGCCCTTTTGCAAGATCAGTATAAATGGCCAAACAATGATCTTGAGAAATAATCTCCAGAGACTCACAGTTTCATCCTTAAGTAGATTAAAATCTTATTTGAGAACATCAATTGGGATTGAAACTACAAAGGTCTAATTAGAACTGTATCCATTACAAACAGGATGAGGAACAAACACTTCTCATGTTCTTGCCATTCTATCCTTTGCAACCAAAATGTCACTGTCACAGTAACGACCCCAAAAATGCTAGATAACATAGCCATTCCCTAATAAGAAACAACTCACGCATTTAAAAATTTAATACAATTATTTCTCAAAATCTGAAAACACAATTTAAACTTATATAGAACTCTTCCTTGCACTCCACTAGTTTCATTTCACTTGTTTTCAAGCCATTGTATCATTAAAAACATTGTTAAAGAACTAACAAAGTTCTTAATTGACAGTAATTGTGCACACAATCTGCCATTTTTGGCAAGTATTAAATGGCAAATATTTGGAAAAGAATTAAAAAAATATTTAAAATATCAATATTAAAAAGGCAAATAAATTACAAGCATTAAAGAGACTGCATTTATAATTAAATATCATCTCAAATGTTTCCTCAGTTAATGTTTGCAAATAACTTACCTAAACTGTGGAGCTCCTGTCTTAATATCCCCTATGGTGACTTGAACATCATCTTCATCATCATCACTATCACTATCACTGTCATCCTCAGCCTCTGCCACCTTCTATAAAAGAAAAAGTCATTTCTTAGACAAAAAGCAGTCACTTACCTTCACAATGGAAATACAATCCAGACAAAACCATCCATTCTAGAAAGCTTTGAAAGAAGAAAATTCTCCTCTTCCTAGACATTAGAACTGAGTAGCATTAACAGCAAATTCAGGAGGTTACAAGTATCTGAAACATCTGGATCAAAATAGAGAAGTGTCTTTAATACTAGGTTCAGTTTCTCAAGCATAAAAGAGCTTCCACTACCTAATATCCTCTTTCCCTCTATCTAGCTCATACACACTGGTTCTATTCTTACATTGTCATTCAGGACAGGACTAAAAGATATGGAAGACTAGCTTCTTGCCATCATCAATTATATACTCAGCATAACTCAAGTAAATGTTTCCCCAGCTGATGATGAACATTGGAGAAATCTATTTAGTTCCTTATGTAAGTATGCTACATAAAATACTTGAGACATTTCAGCAAACAGACTGAAAAATCAGATGCGAGAGCACGCTGTATGCTGTATGATACACGGAGCGTTTTAGGCTCCAGACAAGCACTAAACATGTCCCTACTACATAGCAATGATCAAATCATTACTTTATTTTTTTTTTGTAGATCTGTTTTTTTCCTCCCAATGAACATCACTCTCTTTTTTCTATGCAGAATTCAATAACCACATATTAACCAGTCAGTTCTTCACAGTTAGACCTTGATCTCACTATCTTAATTAACTTTGTATCATCACAAAACTCCTAATTTCACAACTTAGCTCTTTTCCAAGAAAATACATTAAACAGCACCAGTTAAGCATAAAATTCCAGAGAATCCTCCCTGGAAGTGGCTTTTCTTTACTGTGAAAATAGAACCTTGACCTCTACCCTGTGTTTTCTATCTATTACAAACCAGCTAAAATCAGTTATCCACATAGGGATCATTCTGTAACTGCACAGAGAAATTTTAAAAATCCTTTGGTGAGGAACTTCTTCTAAAACTTTGTGGAATCCAAATGAACTTTTCAACCAAATCATCCTTATTCACATATTGGAATTCTTCAGCAAAAGGCTGAACTCGTGGAAGCCAAGCTGATTCTGCCCTAGCAGCCTTCAGTTATCCATGCACAGCTGGGTTCCAGCCCTTGTCTACTATACCATCTATTAAGTTGCCTGTACATTAAAAAAAAAAAAAATCAACAAAAATCAACAGCTCCTTAGAAAGTAAGATATTGGAGGGTGTTCATCCTCACTACACAACATTAATATAATTTCATAATAATGAAGCGTCTATTCTTGGGGTAGGGAAGATGGGGCAAGTCTAGATCACTATGGGTATTCTGTAAATGACAGCTGAAGACAGTCTTTCAATTCCACATGGCTGAAAAGTGCAAATTCACCACTCATCAGGCAACCCACACAGATGCCACTACAAAGGCATCAAACAGGAAATAAAATTTTGTTTGGACAATGTACCTTTTCAACCAAAACCCACTTCACTTATAAGCAATGATTTTTTAGTTCCCTCTGCACAGAAATATTCACCTGCTCCTATTCCATCAACTTGAACAACATCCATTTTTCTAAGCTGCTGCTGAACATTCATGGACACCATTTATCATTAAGTCCTCAATTTTGTGGAGATATTCTAATGATAACCTAACAATGCCAGGCTATATATAGATTAAAAAAATTTAAAACATGCAAGTAGAAGAAAATGGAGCCTGTAAGGATTTCCAGAAATACAAACACTTCTGATGCACTTTATGTAGCTTTTCAGTTTAAACAACTGAAGTAAGTTTTAAGATTTTAATAACTTCTTCCCCAATTTTAAATAAACTCTAATGCCTTTCATAAATAAAGTGTTAGAGTTACTGTAAAAAAAGTACTTCCCTAAGAGGCCAGTCCTTGAAACTTGCACAAATATCTCAATAACAGTTTCTACATAATTTAAAGTTATTTTTTGGGAGTACATAAGTCAAAAAGTCCCACTGAAGTAAAACTACAATCTTCACATAGAACTTCTCATAGTTAAATTTTTCCCATTCACAGTAACCTGAATCCTTTAACCAACACAGCAACTGCAAATTCAATTTCTTGGTCCTTTCCATCATCATACTGACACTGATGTTATCAGACATACCAAACATTGAAGACCACTCTAAATAAGTGTTACATTGCCTCTGAAAGGCATGTGTAATTCATCTCTTGGTTCACACTTTCACATAGTTTTGCAAATCCTCCTTGTCTATCATATCCAAAATAAGAAAAATCATCAGAGGACTTTATTTTCTCATCACTGAGAAAAAACAAACCACCATTTTGAAAAGGATGTCTCTGAGAAAAGAGAGGTGTCTTCAAGCACCGTCTTTCTGTCCCCCCCAAAAAAACCTACAAGTACTATTTATTTATTTTCTGTAAATTAGATTTAAGAATTGGACTTAACTGGAAAATTGATTTCCTAATTTAGTAATTTCTACAGTTTCTGCAGCTCACAAACACATTTTAGAAAAAAAAGTACACACTTAGGCATTAATTCATTTAAATATAAATCCTAGTCAAATTACGGATTCCCAGAAAGTCATTACATCACAACATTTTAAAACAGTATTTCAAAAACACGTTTAAAACTACCGTTTTCACAACGCCATTTTCTGCAGCTTCCTCTTCACTTCCAGGTGGGGGTGGAACACTTAAACAAAAACAAACAGGAAAAGGTGAAACTAGGTATTTATGCACATGCTATTTCACAGGTATCAGCTAATGATGAAAAAAAGCTTTGCTTCCTCATTCCAGATGAAAAGCCAAAACTCCAGTTGTCTTCAGCATTGATTAAAAAACAAAGTTGACTTGTTAAAAAAACCAAGGTGAATATAACTTTATATTAGCAATATTTTGCTATTATAAATCATACTAACTCGATGTTCATAGAATAGTTGGATGCAATGAGGCATTACACTTGGATCTTTCTTTGAAATCAAACTGAAATACTTTGTAACTTATGAATGGAGAATAAGCTGTTTGATCTTTTTTCCCTACAGACTGACACTTTTCAAAGTCATAATGGAAAAAAAAAGCATTTAAACACCCACAGGTAACGTGTCACTAAACAGAATTCCCATATCAGCATTGTGAAATTTCCTTCTCCCATATGGAATAGTTACAATGCAATGACTAATTCAATTATATATAACTGTAGACTGAGAACCGTAAAAATTTTAAAATTACTGGTCCATCTGAAAGGATGAGTACTGTGACATCCAGGCACATGAGCTGTCTCACTGAGCCTACATAGGGCTGTTTCCTACACAGTGATATTTTAACTTCCACAGTCCCATTAGCTGTTAGGATGCTGCACCACAAATAGCAGAGTAAGTAGGGAGCCATCTAGAAACAATATTCTTTCACTGAAAAGGTATTTGTGAAACAGTGTGCAACTGGCAATTTTTATTGAATAGAATGGATCTAACCCCATACTCAGTTGGCAACACACCCGTAAGTGTTGCACCCAACACAGCCCAGCTTTTGCCTCAGGGTTCAAGCCTGATCATTTCACTTCATCACCTGGTAAAATGACAGACTAGGTACAGAACCTGAATAACACATCACAATTTCTGTATATACAAACAACGCCAAATCTGAGAGGCCAGAGACCAAAACTTTAAACAGCTGAAACTGTCCCCATACTTTCACAGCTCCCAACAAAATTTTAAGATGGGTAAGTAAGTATTTGTTATGCTTTTTGTCCAAAACTGCATGGTGACAGGCAAATGCCAAGCTAGACACCATTGACCAGAAACTGGAGTACACTTTCTAAAAATCATTTTAGCCTCCATGCAAGTAATTTTCCTAAGTAACAATAGTAGTGACAAACATGCCAGGTCAAGAAAAGGTAACTGAACATAAGGAATCAACTGATATGGAATAGCTTCTAAATAAAGAGCAAATAAATAACTAGAACTCTTTGTCCTGGAAGAGACAAGATTCAAGACAAATGCAAGAGAGCCCTAAAAACCAGCTAAATGACATGGAAAAAGTCAAAGAAAACAACTCTGTTTCTTATACTTCAGAAATAATGGGAATCAAATAATCACACCTCTAGCTGCTTCACAGTGATATCATTTATAGTCATGTGGTGGAGGTAATTACTGCTTTGTCACTCTGTGCTTGTCAAAGCTGACATGAGTTCAAAGGAGCAACTGAGCAAGCTTATGAACAAGCAGTCCACCAAGGGTAGCCAAATGCAAGAGCTCTCACTGAAAAAATGGAAACAACTACAGAAAACAACAATGTATGTTTTCACAAATTGATTTTCACTTTATTTGTTTAATATACCTTGACAATCAATAATTTCCATATTTTACCAATTATGATACTTCTTTCATTTAGCACAAGTGACTGATTCCCTTTTCCAGTCATTTCTCATTACTAATCTCCATTAACTTTGTTAGATTTCCAAGGGAGCATCTTTGTGCCCTCACACAGCTCTTTGTAACTCAAGCAGGTTCCCCTCAGATACTTCCAAAGCTTTCCTAAGTTTCTCTAAGTTTCTTTGAAATACTGTCTTACTGGTTAAAAAAAAACTAACCATGCTAAACCTGCAAGCCTAAGCAGATGTGATCTGTACATCAGACTACCTGGTAACCTTCCACTGCTTCCTTGTATTGCTGCTTTTGCAACTGCACTGCAAACTCTTTGGGAGACAGGATGTTTTTCTGTCGCTAAATTATCCCAAACAAGTCCTGATCCATCATTAAGACCACAAAGCACAACAATTACAAAAATAAAAGACCTGTTGGCATTCTGTGAGTGGTTATTGCTGTCCATACAGTTAAACTAACTCTCATACTTAAGTGACCCAGTTTCACAGATACAGCCATTTCAAAGAACAGCAAAGTCCAAATATACTATCTTAAGGACACTTTCAAAGACACCAGAGTGGGTTCAGGTCCTACCAGCTTTGAAAGTTGGTAGGAGCTGGAAAGAAGAACGTAGTGAACACAGGTTTTGTGCAGCCAGGCTTCAGGGCTTCCAGTTGTCAGGATACTCACCTAGATTTTTCTTCCTCTGGTCTCTCTGCTTCATTTTCATCTACCATAAGAAAAAAGAAACGCAATATTTAATAAAATCCCTAGGGTATCAACTGTGACAGATTATCTTGGGATGTAGAATATTAGGCAAGTCTTTAGAGACATATTGACTATTGAGACATATGCTTAACATTTCAGTTGTGAAATCAGTCGAGCAGACCCCTAAGCAATTACAGTGCTCCGCACTGACAGGTCCACCACATGGGCAGGGTATAGTTTATATGATTCATTAACATCTGAACATAAAGATAGTCCCTAAAGTTGTATAAAAAGTTAATACATAAAAGGTTAAGCTTCTTTCAGTATTTCAACGCCGGGAACTCGGGCAGGAGAGCAGCAGAGAGAGCTCGGCGGCCCCAGGGTGCCTGTGGGGCAGGGACACCACGCGGGGCTCCC